GCGAAAGTAGCCCAATTTTGGGCTACAAAGTAGCGAAAGTAGCCCAATTTTGGGCTAAAAAGTAGCCCAATTTTGGGCTGAAAAGTAGCCCAATTTTGGGCTACAAAGTAACGAAAGTAGCCCAATTTTGGGCTAAAAGTAGCGAAATTTTGGGCTAAAAAGTATCAAAAGTAGCGAAATTGTGGGCTAAAAGTAGCCCAATTTTGGCCTAAAAAATAGCAAAAGTAGCCCAATTTTGGGCTAGAAAGTAGCCCAATTTTAGGCTAAAAAGTAGCGAAAGTAGCCCAATTTTGGGCTAAAAAGTAGCGAAATTTTGGGCTAAAGAGTAGCAAAAGTAGCGAAATTATGGGCTAAAAAGTAGCAAAAGTAGCACAATTTTGGGCTAAAAAGTAGCGAAATTTTGGGCTAAAAGTAGCGAAATTTTGGGCTAAAAGTAGCGAAATTTTGGGCTAAAAGTAGCGAAAGTAGCCCAATTTTGGCCTAAAAAGTAGCGAAAGTAGCCCAATTTTAGGCTAGAAAGTAGCGAAATTTTGGGCTAGAAAGTAGCCCAATTTTGGGCTAAAAAGTAGCGAAAGAAGCCCAATTATTGGGCTACAAAGTAGCGAAATTTTGAGCTAAAAACTATCGAAAGTAGCCCAATTTTGGGCTAGAAAGTAGCCCAATATTGGGCTACAAAGTAGCTAAATTTTGGGCTAGAAAGTAGCGAAAGTAGCCCAATTTTGGCCTAAAAAGTAGCGAAAGTAGCCCAATTTTGGGTTAAAAAGTAGCGAAAGTAGCCCAATTTTGGCCTAAAAAGTAGCGAAAGTAGCCCAATTTTGTGCTAAAAAGTAGCAAAAGTAGCCCAATTTTGGCCTAAAAAGTAGTGAAAGTAGCCCAATTTTGGGCTAAAAAGTAGTGAAAGTAGCCCAATTTTGGGCTAAAAAGTAGCGAAATTTTGGGCTAAAAAGTAGTGACATTTTGGGCTAAAAGTAGCGAAATTTAGGTTAGGTATATATATATATATATATATATATATATATATATATATATATATATATATATATATATATATATATATATATATATAGATATATAGATATATATATATATATATCTATATATATATCTATATCTATATATATATATATATATATATCTATATATATATCTATATCTATATATATCTATATATATCTATATATATATATATATATATATATCTATATCTATATCTATATATCTATATATATATATGTCGTACCTAGTAGCCAGAACGCACTTTTCAGCCTACTATGCAAGGCCCGATTTGCCTAATAAGGCAAGTTTTCATGAATTAATTGTTTTTCGACTACCTAACCTACCTAACCTAACCTAACCTAACTTTTTCGGCTACCTAACCTAACCTAACCTATAAAGATAGGTTAGGTTAGGTTAGGTAGGGTTGGTTAGGTTCGGTCATATATCTACGTTAATTTTAACTAAAATAAAAAAAAATTAACCTTATACATAATGAAATGGGTAGCTTTATCATTTCATAAGAAAAAAATTAGAGAAAATATATTAATTCAGGGAAAACTTGGCTTATTAGGCAAATCGGGCCTTGAATAGTAGGCCAAAAAGTGAGTTCTGGCTACTAGGTACGACATATATATATATATATATATATATATATATATATATATATATATATATATATATATATATATATATATATATATATATATATATATATATATATAAAACGGCCAGCCTACTCATGAGAAACTCTCCAGGTATATATATATATATATATATATATATATATATATATATATATATATAAAACGGCCAGCCTACTCATGAGAAACTCTCCAGGTATATATATATATATATATATATATATATATATATATATATATATATATATATATATATATATATATATATATATATATATATATATATATATATCTATATATATATCTATATATATATCTATATATATATAGATATATATATATATATCTATATATATCTATATATATATATAGATATATATATATAGATATATATATATCTATATATATCTATATATATATAGATATATATATATTTGGCTGTTGATTGCTGGTGTTGACTTCTTGATGTGTAGTGCCTCGCAAACGTCAAGCCGCCTGCTATCGCTGTATCTATCGATGATTTCTGTGTTGTTTACTAGGATTTCTCTGGTGATGGTTTGGTTGTGGGAAGAGATTATATGTTCCTTAATGGAGCCCTGTTGCTTATGCATAGTTAAACGCCTAGAAAGAGATGTTGTTGTCTTGCCTATATACTGGGTTTTTTGGAGCTTACAGTCCCCAAGTGGGCATCAAGAAGTCAACACCAGCAATCAACAGCCAATTATTGCACAACTATATTCTACCCACCTCAAGACTCCGCTCCAATATAGAAGCATCAAGAAATATGGACCAATAGGCTTTCTACAAACACTTCTATTCAATACCCATTGTTTGTGTTCTGTCTTGTGTTGATACTTTTAATACCCTATTAATATCCCCTCTTGTTCTGTCTTGTGTTAATGCCACATCACCCCTCCCACCTCACTCAAATGTAGATATAAAATCTGAGATACGTAAGTTCTATTCAGTTGTGTATTTGTGAACTAAAAGTCTTTGAAAATGTAATAAGTTTTGCGAGGCGCGCCCGTGTCGCGTCAGACTAGAAATAAAAATGAATTTTGGAGAATTAATTTTTGATTTACCTCCAACAGTGAAGCGTAATGTACGAAAGATTGAGAAAATTCGTGTTAGAATTATTAATCTTACTTTTTCGGTCATATTTAATAATATATATATATATATATATATATATATATATATATATATATATATATATATATATATATATATATATATATATATATATATATATATATATATATGTCGTTTAAAATTAACTCTCCAAAATTCCTTTTTCTACATTTTTATTTTTGGTCTGACGCCTAGAAGCGTTTCGTAGGGCTTCTTACATTTTCAAAGACTTGGTTTACACATAACATAAATCATGCTTTTATTTATTTTGGGTGAGGTGATATGACAGATATGTTTTGGGTGAGGTGGGTATTAATTGGGTATGAAAGGCATAAGAATGAAAGTAACTGCAGAAGGCCTATTGCTTCATACTTTCTATTTACTTTCCCAAAACAAATAAAAAGCATGATGTATGTTATATGTAAACCAAGTCTTTGAAAATGTAAAAAGCCTTACGAAAGGCTACTAGGCGTCAGACCAAAAAAAAAAATGTAAAAAAAAAAAAAAAAAAAAAAAAAAAAAAAAAAAAACATCAAGAAGTCAACACCAGCAATCAACAGCCAATTATTGCACAACTATATATATATCTATATTATATATATATATATATATATATATATATATATATATATATATATATCTATATATATATATATATATATATATATATATATATATATATATATATATATATATATATATATATATATATATATATATATATATATATATATATATATATATATATATATATATATATATATCTATATCTATATCTATATCTATATCTATATATATATATCTATATCTATATCTATATCTATATCTATATCTATATATATATATCTATATCTATATATATCTATATCTATATATATCTATATATATATCTATATCTATCTATATATATATATATATATATATATATATATATATATATATAAAACGGCCAGCCTACTCATGAGAAACTCTCCAGACACAAAACAGAACGCTTTAAAAGAGACTAACGTCGTCTATGCCTTCAAATGCCCTCTTGGGGACTGTAAGCTCCAAAAAACCCAGTATATAGGCAAGACAACAACATCTCTTTCTAGGCGTTTAACGATGCATAAGCAACAGGGCTCCCTTAAGGAACATATAATCTTTTCCCACAACCAAACCATCGCCAGAGAAATCCTAGTAAACAACACAGAAATCATCGATAGATACAGCAATAGCAGGCGGCTTGACGTTTGCGAGGCACTACACATCAACAAGTCAAGACCAGCAATCAACAGCCAATTAATGCAAAACTATATTCTACCCACCTCAAGATGCCGCTCCAATATAGAAGCATCAAGAAATATGGACCAATAGGCTTTCTACAATCACTTCTATTCAATACCCATTGTTTCGTGTTCTGTCTTGTGTCGATGAAATTAATACCCTATTAATGCCACCTCACCCCATCCACCTCTCTCAAATGTAGATATAAAATCGGAGATGCGTAAGTTCTATTCAGTTGTGTATTTGTAAACTAAAGTCTTTGAAAATGTAATAAGTTTTACGAAACGCGCTCGTGTCGCGTCAGACTAGAAATAAAAATGAATTTTGGAGAATTGATTTTTGATTTACCTCCAACAGTGAAAAGAAATGTACGAAAGATTGAGAAAATTCGTGTTAGAATTATTAATCTTACTTTTTCGGTCATATTTAATAATATATGTCTACAGGAAAGACTGCTACCAAAATATACTAATTTATATATTTATATATCTATCTATATATATTTATATATCTATATATCTATATATATTTATATATCTATATATATCTATGTATGTGTATATCTATATATATCTATATATTTATATATCTATATATTTATATATATCTATATATATATCTATATATATATCTATATATTTATATATATCTATATATATATCTATATATATATCTATATATTTATATATCAATATATATTTATATCTATCTATATCTATATATCTATATCTATATCGATAGATAGAGATAGATAGATATAGATATAGATATATCTATATTATATATATTACTTATAATATATACTTATATATATGTATATATTATATACATTATATAATATATACATAATTATATATATTATATTATATATAATGTGTATATTATATATTGTGTGTATTGTAAAATGCTACACGACATATTTGAACGTATAATTGGAACTTTCTGTGCCAGGAAAATAAAAGACTATTTCAAATAAATCTTTTTAATCTTTTAACAACAGTATCATGCATATACTTGGGTGATTATCTACAATATCACAATACAGCAGCTACACGATTACATCATTAACCACGCTTTCTATCTACAGTGTCAACAGGAGATTCTTGAGGAGACTTGCCAATTGAGACATTTTTGTATAGAGTTTGAAGCCCATTACAGAAGTGGTATTAATTTTTGGTTACAGTTTTTCTTTACAGTACAGCAATACATTAAACTTGGGCCTAGTTAGTTAGCTCTAAATATCAGGCTGCTGAGATACTTTGTAAGCAAAGCCACAATGGTACAGTGACCTACTTAAATAACAAGACAGCCTACTTTAATTTGTCCTTATTTAAGCACCAATTTTAAATAACTAAAAGTTAAATACCATTAAATGGGGTGAAGAGAACATCTCATTGAGGTACATTCACAAAGAAACGGGATGATAAGTAAAATGAAACATCCAGATGTCATTTAAATTATGCAGGAAAGGATGGAGTTACATGGAATGATATCAGGCAAACCATCTAAATATATCAGCTGTAGAATTTGGCACTGCACTGATAAAGAATATAATATTGTGGCATTGTGCAAAAACAAGTTGTAGATAACTAGGACAATTTGTTGGGTTTTCAGCAAAGTTAAACAAACTTGGTGACAATAAGGTTTAACAAAAGCAAATTTTAGGCACGCTCCAGTAAACCAAACTGTCACGACAAATATATTAAACACACTTGTTACATTCTTCCATTGACTTGCTTGTGACACAGCACTTATTCACATATAAAGTATAATTTGGACACATCATCAGCCCTTCAAATTCATTTTGGCTGGTCGACATTTGGGGTTCGAAAATACAAAATCCTCTGTCTCGTGTCACAGACACATTGTTCAGAGGTCATTTTTTGGGAGATTTTCAGTTTATTAAATTTAACACTCTTGACCCCATCTTGGCAACGTCTAATCGGCTCCATGTATCAGGACATGGATTGGATAGACAAATTACAGTCACAGCGACCATCCTGTACTGCAATGCCATTATGCATGAGAACTATAGCATTTTGCAAGGGTCTTTTCAATTTGGTCAATATTATATCAACACAGTGAAAAGTACATGCCCTACAGTATGATGCTTAATACGCCTATCTATATTACAGTGACCTCTTATTGAAATTCAGAAGACATAAGCTAATTCTAAATAGTCTTTCTGTATAATATGTACATATATCTTTTTATATAAGAATTATTTCACTATTCATAAATTTGTCCTATACACGGCTTTATTCATATTCTTGAGTGGGCATTCATGCGAGTATCAGCAACAGCAGACTTAGCATGAATTAGTGCCTCCCTGGATATCTTTCTGGGGGAAGATCCAAAGCTACTCTTGCTGATGTAGTCGTCATCACAGACAGCAGAGTCGACGGAGGACTGCCAGTCTAAAGAAGGTGTCTTTCCACTTTTGAGAACATTGCGCCCTGTAACAGCACGACCATTTGTAATACCAAATTGATTGTTACCCTGATTTTGGTTATTTTCCTCAATACTAAAAGAACATTCACTGATACCAGAGTCACTCCTCTCGCTGACCATACTGGTGGATGGACGTGTCACGGGAGCACAACCCTTGGGCTTTGAAAGGATGTTTGGAGAGGAAGCAGGAGAAGGGGAGGAGGGGGATGTGGGTGTATGGGCATGGTTCTCTGGGAGAGGTGAAAGTCGGGTTGGCGACGAGGGCTGAGAACTGCGGCGATTGGTGAGGCTGGCCATTCGTCCAAGTGCACGGATAGCATTTCCAGTTTTCTACAAATGCAAAAACATCAAACCATGCAGTTAGGGTCACACCAACTCAAATTCAACAATTGTTAATAGGACATTAAATCACAAGCACTACTGTAGGTTCAAATTAAATGTGGTCTTATTAAAATATAACCAACAGCAGTAAACATAATTACTGCATTATGTTTAAGCAGGAAAGTACAATATACATTCTAGCTGGATAATACACAAGAAATTAGCAAAATATGAACTTTACTACATTTCTTAGAACAAATGTGAGAAACAAACAATTCCAACATCAATACTAAATCAGGCATTAAAGATAACATTAACCAACACAAACCTGCCACTTCCGTCTTATTATGAACTTCTTTAGTTTATCAGTCGACAGTACCACTTTGTTCATATCTTCTTCCGTCTGTGCTAGCCAAGGATGATTAAAGCATTCTTCGGCAGTTAGTCGCTCCCTGAGAGCAAGACAGTGTGATTTAATTACATAAAGTAAAGCATTGTTGCAACAATTAAAATATTAATACAATACTGTATCCAACAAAATTAAACAAAAATATTAAAGGAAATATACTCACTCTTTTTCTTTGATTAGTAGAGATGTTATAAAATCTTTGGCATCATCAGTTATAGCACTAAATGCGTCATCATCAAAGTCGAACTCGGCAAGAGTGATGTTAGCAAAGGTCTCTGCATCATTGTCACCCATGAAAGGAGACAGGCCCGATAACCTGGTCGAAAATTAAAGATCTTAATAAACAAACTCTGGATGCCCTACTTTTCTGGATTGTTTCTTAAAGCAAATTGTACAAGTACAGTAAAGTGAATGCATATTTGTACATAATAAAACTTTTGTGCACCATTAATATTAAACATTTACAAACTTCCATTTAACTTTGTATATATATAGTACAAGCTAGTCTTTGTAACCCGGAGGTGACAAAATGGTTATAATCATGCCATCTGTTAAACTTCTGCAGTCACCTGAAGTGGCCTTCAAGTCTTCAATGGCCACGGTTTATATCATTCTTTCAACTACACTAGATATGATACTCTTCTGCACCCAGGTTTCAAATAATAAAGCAAAATAATCCTCTTTATAAATGTTTCACCGAGCCTGTAATGTACTGTAAATTGTACAAGTTTGAAAATATTTCTGGAAAGTTTATAGCCCTGCTGAAACGAGCTGGGGCACACACATTGCTTGCGTCCATGTGTACAGTATTCTCTCTCTCCACCTTCACACCACCTCTTTTCACCTAATTTCCCCCACCCCACTACCCATTCCCAACCCTTATCCCTCTCTACTCTACCCAGCCTCCCCTACCTTCCAACTGCACACCCGATCCTATAGACCAACATTTCTCGACCAGGGTTCTGCCGAGCCCCAAGGTTGAGGGGGTTCCACAAGAGATAGTGATACATAGGCTAATTCTAATCATGTGCAAGTTTATTTTACAGTAATTTTTGCATTTAATTTTTCTTATTTATCCAGTATCAAGATCAAAGACAAATCATCTGCTGTCAGTCAACAATGAAAGTTCTAAAGTTCCCCCATGTGTATAGGGGAACCTAAAGTTCCCCATGTGTATAGCTGCACGTGTGCATAAAAGCAATTTTATCCTTTAAAAAAAAAAAAAACTTTCTATTAAAAAAACTTATTTCCTATGGAAGTTATGTAGAAACAACTGTGTACTTACAATACATAGCATATAACTCCTACAGACCACATGTCTGATGCAAACCCAATTAGTTCATAGTTGATGATTTCTGGGGCAATGAACTCAGGTGTGCCAAAGAGGACCCTGCATGGGTCATCTGGGTTAAAGCGGCGAGCCAAGCCAAAGTCGATGAGTTTTATCTGATGGGAAGTTCGACGTACACACAGAATGTTCTCAGGCTGGTTGGAAAATAAATAGACATTATAAATACCTTTCACTGCACACACACACAGGCTGTATGTCTATACATACTGGCATGTGTATACAGTACATATAAATTACTGCCATACAGCCAGTAATTTATAACTGGCTTTGACCATGGCCAAAGTTATAATTTTTTTTTTTCCTGTAATCAAGAAGAACATGTGTTACTGTATTTCAACATTGGGGATCTTTTTTTTTTTTTTTTAGTTTATTTGCACCTAGGTGTTGCACAGTATGAACAATGGTGCAGCCCAGGGATTACATGTTTATAAATATAGTACAGCAATTAAATCTTATTTCATTACAGCAATAATTTTTTTTAAATGCATGTGGGGCAGTTATAAATTATTCTTATGAGAGATTTCCATATGAAACTCAAATATTCTTCATTGCAGCTGTAATAAGTATTGATTTAGAAAAATGCCATGCTTAGACCAGAAAAAGTAGACTGTTTAAAAAGACATTTTGACTAAGGACTTAAATCCAATCCTCAAATGGTTAAATTATATGAAGGCCTTTCAAGCAAAATGTAATTTCAATCAAGTCCACTCAACTTGCCATTTCCCCTTCATCATTGGTAACACTGTTCCTATTCAACCTATAACAAGTAGTCCGTAGAACAAACTATGGATCATAATATATAATTCTTAACATACTGTATATAACTCTAACTTGCCCTATTTTTCCAATATACCCATTATACATTTTATTTTCACCAGAGTGAAAATTAAAATTGAAAATATTCCTGTTTTGGAAATAAATGAGGATTGAGAAATGAATCCAAAAATGTGTATGAAATTTCCTGCTTTTTAACCCACCTTCAGATCAAGATGCACTATCAGGGATTTATGCATGTACTGAACTCCCTCACAGATCTGCCTGACGAAGAGAATACAGTCTCTTTCTGTCAAGGCAAAATCATCGGCCACAACGCGTTCAAATAGTTCTCCTCCAGATATGCTGCAACAATCAAGTTTAACAAATTAGATAATCATTACAAAGTGAGCATTCAAACACTATAGATGTTTAATATATTTTTAATTTAGTGGGTAAGCCCATTGGCTCAAATAGGTTCAGAGAACATAGTACAGTGCTGTCTGGGTGCGTGTGTATACACACTTCTACACGACAATACCATGCAATAATTTCTCTTCTATTGTAAAACAGCACATATTCACCCAGATTAAAAAACATTGGTTATTGTGATTAATTACTTTTACTGTATACAGGATCCACTTAATATCCATATGGTGAAAGCCTACCAGCAATATAGAAAAACCATTTAATTTAATAATTTTGAAACGGCTGCACTGTTTGTTGAGTACACGTTAAAAAATGTATTACGAGGTTTTCCACAACAAATACTTTAGAAAAGAAATGAAAATCTAAAATATAATCCAAGTTGAAAGGCTGTTGCCAAAAATTATAACTTCGTTGGTATTGCCCAAGTACAATAAAAATAAATTATCGTTTCAGAAAACATTTAAACTCCTTAACTACAGTACTAGTACAGTGGTACCTCGCATAATGAATTTAATCCGTTCCATGTTCGTCATGTGAAACGGACGTCATACAAAACGAGTGTCCCCCATGTAACCAGTGTGATGCACTGTGTTTATTGTGAAATTTCCCCAGTGTGCATGACATCAAATGTTCCCCAAAATATAATTTTTCTTTGTAAAATGTTAAATTACCGTCCCTGAACATGTCTATGTAAAAATAATTACCAAATTCCACTTACTTTGGCTGTGAGGGCGTGGACAAGGTGCGCTGTGACGTCATCAGGGCCTGGTCGCCCGTGTGTGAAGCTCCCAGACACGGTCGCGCAGGCCATTCAAGCACCGCGTGTTGCCACAAATATATTTTCAAATATTTTTTCTATGCATTTCCAATGCGGTTTTATTTGTTTCTTTTATCGTATATGATGCATATTTGTGACCTTTACACTATGTATACAGTAGAATGTTCATAATTTTCCATGAAACTGTGATACATGTGTCAGTAATGTGTCCTCAATAAATGTTTATTGTCACAATATTACGTGGTAAAAATTCACTAAAATTACAATATGTACAGTTTCACATACTATTTACACAGTAACACACTGTATTACACACTCGGTAATTTGGAGGTGCGTAATAATCAACGAAGTAGTCCATGGTACACAGCACGACTTTGCTCTCCTTGCACCAGCTACAGATAGATTTTCGTTTCCTGTTTCATCATTCTGTGTGCTTGCAAATAACGCACTCGCGTGCACCCTTGGCTTTAGTACTTGTAGGTGGTATGTAGCCAAGCTTGTAAAGCATAAAGTAGTATTGAAACGATTATAGGAAAAGCTCAATTTGTAAGGTAGTCTTGAAAAGATCGCTTTGTAAAGTCCCACACAGGAAGAGATTCAGCTAGCCTCAAAGAGTGTCCATCAGTCAGGAAGAGATTCAGGTATTCTTGAAAATATCAATGAACACCACCACCATGGAAGCTGCTAACACTGTTCATCTATGCTTCTTGTATCAGATGCATCATCACTGAACGCAGAAAACGATTCATCTATGTATCATCTATATACATTAGAGATGGCAAGGGTGGGGTTCAGAGCTACACCTGGATACGCTCGCTGTATCACTGGCATCCGACCGTTGTGTTAAGCCCTTATTGCGCCTAGATTCACCAATGTTATGACCCTTATGTTCTTCAAACAATAGGGTCTGAATTGCACCGACTGAGCACAGTCTTTCAACACCGTGTGGGACAGGTGTTTGAGAGCCAGAGGCACATGTGCCACAAATCGTTGCTCACGCAGTACTAACCCAGCCAGCAGCCCTTGTCTTTCATATTCGTTATAGTAAAATGTTCGTTCAGTGTTTGTTGGGTAGGCTGCTCCATTATGACAATCTTTCTTTGTTTCAAATGTGTTCCATTTGTTTTGTATTTGTCACTTACGTCTCAATAATGGAGCAGCCTACCCGACAAACACTGAACGAACCTTTATGACATTTGTCCACTTTTCAAATTGTTTGAACAGTTCTTTTTTTTTTTTTTTAAGAAACATGGAGCAGCTGACCTGTAGACCACCGAACGAACCTTTTTGACATTTGTACTGGTTTTCAAAATTCATTTTTTTTATTATTTACGTTTTTTGTATGTAAGAAACATGGAGCAGCCTACCACCGAATGAACCTTTTGCTATAAGACAAATGAAAAATAAATATTGAACACATTTGAAGAAAGGAAAATGTCATAATGGTTTATTCAGTGTATGTAAGGTAGGCTTCTCCATTATTGAGACGTAAATGACAAATAAAAAACAAATGGAACACATTTGAAACAAAGAAAGATTGTTATAATGGAGCAGCCTACCTGCCGAACACCGAACGAACCTTTTTGACATTTGTTGTATATCAGACATTTCATTTCTTTTCTCCTACAAAAACGTCAATGCTTTGCAACATCTCAGCAGTCACCCTTTTATATCCCAGCATCATTAACATCTTTAAACAAGAACAACATAATTTATGTGCATCGTCGGAGGCGTCTAAGAATGTGCAAGAAGCAGCGCGACCCAACCATGTGGTGTTGACGTTACTCAAACCAGCGTTCGTCATACAGGATGATTTGACGCCGATCGGGCCGTTTGTTACCCAAAATGTTCGTCTTTTGGGGCAATCGTTATGCAAGGTACCACTGTAATTTGCTATAATCAAAAAGCTATTGTTAAACTTCCACATAATGGCCTCTTCTAGACCACCATGGCACAACAAAATAGGTAAACTATAGATTCGAGATTTGTAATGCAAAATAAATCGAACAAGAGATGGAACTCTGTGGCCCAACACCACAGATTGTCCTTGGGTAAAGGACCAGTCTCCTATCCTTTGTCCAAAAGAGGAGTTCCACAAGCCACACTTTTCTACTCTCCAAGTTGTCAGAGCACAGAAAGGTGGCATCTCAAGGGGAAATATAATCTGGAATGCAAGGCAAAAAGATTGGATGTCTAGGATAACTTTCACATGGGAACAATGAAATGCTTAGAGTGGAATTTTCCCTAAATACTTTATCTGCCATTAATTGCAGAGGCCGTTCCACAAAAGTACTTTACTCTAAAATAATTTTCCAATGGATTCCACTTGCAATGGGAGGCTAAGAAAGCATGATGTAACACCAAGAGCAATTCCAACAAAAATATTTTGTTTAATTATATTAACAAAAATTCAATCCAAACCTTTATGTAACATGGTAAGTCTGCCAATAAAACCAAATAAAACCAGTAAAACATATATATATAGTAATGGATACAATTTCATTAGAAGTCGACAAGAACTTACTATTCCATAACCATAACCATTTCTCTCGGCCGTTCATATGCTGCCCCAAGTTGTAGTAATTTTGGATGTCGCAGAGAATTCATAATGTCTATTTCCTCACGAACCTGTAAAAGCAATGGTAGTCATGTTATCGGTACTGTTACATAATTAACGTCACCTTTAACACTTTATCCCAGCAATGTGTCTACAATATTTAGGGTATCTTTGTAAAGTTTTTTTTAACAAATTATGTAGCGCCAAAATTATGAAAACATTAATATTGCGAGTTTTAATGTCTGCACTTTATTCCTTTCACTGCTAATGCTTCAATCCAAGCCACAGTACAGTACTACTAAAATTCATCACACATTATCTAATTTTCAGCGAAGCTGACTTTAAATCTATTTAGACCTATAATACCATTATAGGTTTACTATCTACTCAGCACTAGTCTTGAACCAGCACACCAATGAACTTCTTCAGTGACTTAAGAAAAGCATTTGTTACTGTAAATTCCAATAAACTCTTGCTTGAACTATGAAATTGGATGCCACGCTTTAACTGTATCTGATCACACCTCTACAACAGACACCAATACCTACAGTAGTTGTCACTAACATAACCTCTCCCACTTTTCAATAAATAGGACCTACTGCTTGTAATTCTTCCAACCATTTTAAATCTATACGATTAACTGATGACACGACCTTCATTTTTAGCCTCAAGTCACACCCCCTAAATGGAATTTTTTTTAATTCATTGTTAATACTTTGGCGTACCCCGTGCGCCACCCCTCAACTGTGCGATTTGGGTCCCAGGGTTTCACGGGAGCGCGTGTAAATTCTGAAAAGTGTATACTCTCTTCAACTTTGTCACCTTAATTCTCGTCCTATGAGATTAAACTTGGTATCATTGTGTTCGCAATAGAATTCTCTACAGCACTAAATGCATATAAACTCCAAAAGCCCGGCTAATTACCCGCAGCAAACAGAGAAAGTGCAAACGAGTTACCCAGGAGCACGCAAACGCGATAAAATGTTTTCACTATTTTTACTCTGGTCACCTCAATTTTCGTCCTAGGTCTTTCATTTTGGTCTCAATGGGTTCGCAATAGAATTCTCTAGAGGAACATTAGCATATAAAATAAAAAAACCTGGTCACGCTTCAACCACCGACGAGTTGAAGACGGGCCACACGTTAGCCGCGAGCGAGTGCTCAGACGCCTTCCAGCTACACTCCCAATTCCAGCCCTTTTCAAGCCTTTCTTTCACAATTTTCTTCCTGGAAGGGCCTTGTTCATGATCACTATCTATCGTGGAGTAAGTGTAGATAGTTTCTAAAGCCACAGTAAGAAATATAGCCACGGAAAATAGCCGAAATGTTCACACGTTTGAGATGCGAGGGGGGGGGGGGGCGAAACCGGTCACAACAGTGGAGCAAAAACAATGGGCCGACGGCGTGTGCCGAGCCGCCTACGGGCCACAACAAAGAAAATGGGAAGACGTCGGCGCGCATTTTAAAACCAGTCCCAAAAAATTGGATAAAAACCTGATTTTTTGGCGATTATTTAAAGTGGACGACGCAATGCTGCGTCATGCCCGTCATTACTGACAGTAAACGGATGACGCAATGCTGCGTCATGCCCGGGCGAAAGTGTTAATAAATGTGTAAGAGCATAGAGTGAAATTAATGCCATATGTATCCAGTCCAGCATCCACAAAATACTATGCTTATTCCTCAATAATGAACATAGGGTCGGCTAAACAAGTCGACCTGAGCACCCAGAAACCGATCACCAAGTAGAGTTGTGACAGCTCGGTAATGTTAAAATTTACATAAATTTATCTACCCATGATTTTAACCATTTTCCTTAGGTTTCAGTTAAGCTATGTGGTCTTTACCCCAAGCAAGTACCGGTAAGTTATAGATCTTTCAAACTACTTTATTGTGGCAATATTAAATTCGATTCCAATTATTTTAGAAATCATTTGCAATAAATTACATTACCATAAATATTCCTGATATTTATGGCATATTTATGGCTAGGCTATAATCACTACTGTTTGTGGATTGACAGCATGTGAAGAAACAAATTAGTGTTTTCACTAATAATTTAATTGTATCATTATAAAACTAAATGTGGAACTCTTCGACAGATATCCAAGGACAGCGACTTATGTTGCAAACCATCACTCACTTGCCCAACAACTACACTGCACAAAGGAGTATGCTGGCAAAATCAGCTGTGTTTACTTTTTATTGGTTTACAGTAGATTTCTAGAGTAATGATTGTAGTTTGTCATTTTTAACAAGATTAATTCTGCAGTCATTTTAAATTAATAATTTTTCTATTCCAATGTTTGCTCAGATATTTATTTAATTTACATATCATTTCAAGAATTAACTCAGGGAATTAAGTTGAGGAATAAATCCCACAACTTGCCATAAATGCTCATATAAGACAAGTGGACACTACATTAGAACAATGTTCAATTAGCAGCAAAGGTTGAATGATGATACCCCCAACCCCAGTACAACAGGTCCTTTAAAACAATTAGGTATACCCGCTGGTCTATTGGGGCACACACTACAGTACTCTGAACTGAAATTACCAAAAGCAGAGACCTTTTGCTAATTCTGATAGTGCTGAACCCCAATCACACCATACTTGGTACTTGGCGTACTAGTGGCTTTACAAGAATGTTATTACTATGCTATGTATCCTCACAATTCCAATGTACCTTCTTGTATATATATAAATAAATAAATAAACTTGGTAAAATGACCACACTGGTAAATAATAGTCAACTTAGCAAGCACTATAATGCAAAGAGCCATCATCAGTTAGGAACTATGTATAAGTGACAGATTTGGCCACCAGAGCAGCAAGCCACTGGGCCTCAAATTATCAGAGTATCAATTTAAGTGGATTTATAAATGTATAATGCAGCAACTCACTATAATCAGGAAAATACTAGACATTTAATTTACCTTTTCTTTTTCCTTTGCCTTTATGCACCTGATAATCTTTGCAGCTCTTCTTACCCCAGTAATTTTATCCGTTACTCTGTACACAACTCCAAAGCGGCCTTTTCCCACTTCTTCATGCACATTGTACTGCTTATCGAACATACCACCAGGCTCAATTTCAACATGCAGGGGTGCAAATGCTGTCTCATGATCTGTTAAGAAAGTTAAGATTACAATAAAAAATAAATATATTTAATTATTGTACAGTAAATAGCTTCTCACTTACCATATCCAAATGACAAGCCATGTTTTACACAATAACCAGTTTCAAGGATGGAATATCTCAAAATACATTTATTCTTTTGAATAAATTTAGTTACTCATGAAGATACTAAAATTGCAAACTCTGAGCAACAAAAATGGACAGTAAAGGAAGAAAAAGAGTAAATTAAAAACCGAGATGTACTAAAATTTATGCCCAGGTTAATAGAGCTTCAGATATAAATATAGTAGTTTAATAAACAGAAGGCTGTAGGAAGTCACAGAACACGGCTCTTTGTACTGTGCAAGTACACAGGGTTGTACTTGAGCACTCCAGGTGCAAACGCTATGAGCAGGAACTGCAGCATGATCTCCCACACCAAATCACTGAATGCCTAGTTATTAGACTTCAGACCTGTTGGCACGAGGTACCTAGAGCTTTGCAATTACTGCATTCACTCTCATGTTCATGAAGATATCCTCATATTGCACTCAAAATTTGTCAGTGCAGGATACTAAACATATGGCCTTGTATAACTAACCACCCTGCGAGATGGAGACTTAGTGTCACTGCTACCTTATTCACTCTTATGTTGATATCCTCATAATGCACCCAGAGTCTGCCAGTGCAGACTACTTATCACATGCCTCTGTATGACTAACCATCTTGTGTGATGGGGATCTTTTTAGCATCATGTAGCTAGCTTTTTGACACAATGTACTCCCCTGCATACAGTCTAGGATAGCTGCACAAATGCATATGTACCCAATATATTAATACAAAAAAAAGTACAGATGGAAAAATATCACTACAAGGTATGCTTTGACAGTTAAACATTTGATAAACATCTGAATCATACTCGAGATTAAACTACTTGATGATCAAAGTACTTAGGGGTCAAAGTCTTTAAGCAAAGCACTTAATTTTTATGTGAATCAGGTTTACCCTGGAAGAACCATATTGATTATAACCATATTTACATTTTATATAAAAACTTGGAGACTCCTAAAATACTGTAGTCATATGACGATAAACGCATTATCCTGTGAATCAACTTATGACAATAACCACATCTTATGTGTTAACGTTAGCTGCATTTAGAGGGACAAATTATAATTTACCTTCTGGCTCGGGCTCCTCCTCTTTGTCAGCCGGGTCAGCAGTTGTAACTGGCAAAGATGGCTTGGAGGGATCCGATACCCCATGCATGTTCTGGGCTCGAACACGGAATTCATACTGGCAGTTCTTCTCCAGACCCCGTGCGATGTACGAGGTCGAATGGCACCTACAAAGCGTAGTCAAATTTGGCAAGCAATTATTTATGACACATTAAGCATTACGGCACCCTAAAATTTATTACGTAAACCCACAAATCCTATTCAAAATTGTTTATAATCTGTTACTCATAGGTCTATAATCTCCCCTTGGGTTCTAAAGGAAGGAACAAGAGAACTGAGCCTACCACTCTCCATAGTGTATAACAAATCACTGGCAACAGGGGAACTGCCAGATATTTGGAAAGCAGCTAACGTAGTCCCGATATACAAGAAAGGGGATAGACAGGAGGCACTGAACTACAGGCCAGTGTCCCTAACCTGCATACCATGCAAGCTGATGGAGAAGATTGTGCGAAAAAAACTAGTGGAGCATCTGGAGCGAAGGAACTTTGTAACACAGCATCAACATGGGTTCAGGGATGGCAGGTCCTGCCTCACAGGGTTACTTGAATTCTACGACCAGGCAACAAAAATAAGGCAAGAAAGAGAAGGGTGGGCAGACTGCATATTTTTGGATTGTCAGAAAGCCTTTGATACAGTGCCACACAAGAGGCTAGTGCGAAAGTTGGAGATGCAGGCTGGAGTGAGAGGGAAGGTACTCCGGTGGATAGAGGAGTACCTAAGCAACAGGAGACAACGAGTCTGTGTGAGGGGTGAGGTCTCAGATTGGCGAGACGTCACAAGTGGAGTCCCGCAGGGGTCAGTCCTTGGACCTATACTGTTTCTGGTATATGTAAATGATCTCCCAGAGGGTATAGATTCGTTCCTCTCAATGTTTGCCGACGATGCAAAAATTATGAGGAGGATTGAAACAGAGGATGATAGTAGGAGGCTACAAGATGACCTGGATAGACTGAGTGAATGGTCCAACAAATGGCTGTTGAAGTTCAACCCGAGTAAATGCAAAGTAATGAAACTAGGCAGTGGAAACAGGAGGCCAGGCACAGGATACAGAATAGGAGATGAAGTACTTAATGAAACAGACAGAGAGAAAGATCTAGGAGTTGATATCACACCAAACCTGTCTCCTGAAGCCCACATAAAGAGAATAACGTCTGCGGCATATGCGAGGCTGGCTAACATCAGAACGGCGTTCAGGAACCTGTGTAAGGAATCATTCAGAATCTTGTACACCACATATGTAAGACCAATCCTGGAGTATGCGGCCCCAGCATGGAGCCCGTACCTTGTCAAGCACAAGACGAAGCTGGAAAAAGTCCAAAGGTATGCTACTAGACTAGTCCCAGAACTAAGAGGCATGAGTTATGAGGAAAGGCTGCGGGAAATGCACCTTACGACACTGGAAGACAGAAGAGTAAGGGGGGACATGATCACAACCTACAAAATCCTCAGGGGAATCGACCGGGTAAACAAGGATGAACTATTCAACACTGGTGGGACGCGAACAAGGGGACACAGGTGGAAGCTGAGTACCCAAATGAGCCACAGAGACGTTAGAAAGAACTTTTTCAGTGTCAGAGTAGTTAGTAAATGGAATGCATTAGGAAGTGATGTGGTGGAGGCTGACTCCATACACAGTTTCAAATGTAGATATGATAGAGCCCAATAGGCTCAGGAATCTGTACACCAGTTGATTGACGGGACCAAAGAGCCAGAGCTCAACCCCCGCAAGCACAATTAGGTGAGTACAATTACACACACACACACACACACACACACACACACACCACACACACACACACACACACACACACACACACACACACAGGTCAAGCGGGATGGTAAGACAACAGAATGAAGCTGGAGGAGAGGGACTGGACGAGTCATTCATGGAGATGATTGCTAAGGCATGGAAGGAAGTCAGTGGGGAATTGAAGGACCTGAGGGAAACTATATGTAAGCTGCAGATAGAACTAAGTGCAGCACAAGAGGAGATAAAAAGCCTAAAAACAGGCCCTCCTCAGACTCTGGCCCAGGGGACCAACCCCCAGGTGCCAGGAGATGTAGCAATGGCAGGGACCCCTACAATTGGCCCAACCTTTGCTGAAATGCTCAAGAGCCCAGGAGCAATGTCCACAGTCAAGGAAGTTGTAATGAAAGCAGTAACCTCACAGGAGGCAGCTAGATGCACAAGCCAGCTAATGGAAAGGAAAAGAGCTGTAGTAGTGGTAGGTGTCGAGGAACAAGAGGGCTCCACAAGGGAGGAAACGAGGACTAAAGACAAAGCTGCAGTGGCAGGGATATTAAAGGAGATAGGAATGGAAGGGGCTGAACGAGACATAGAACAGTTTTTCCGGATTGGCCAGTACAACAGAGACAAAAAAAGATTGATCAAGGTAGTATTCAAGAGCGAGGACATCAAAGAGGACATTCTAGTAAGGAAGAACAAACTGAGGCATGCAAGGAACTACAAAGAGGTATATGTTCAGAGGGACATGACCAGAGACGAGATAGTAAGGGCAGCAGATGCAAGGAAAAGGCGCAAGGAGAGGGAAGAGAGCCAGGGAACCTCAGCCTCCAACCCAGCAATCCCAGAGGGGAGTGGGGAACCCCAATCCAGCAACCCAGGAACCCCAGGGGGGAATGCAACACCCCAGTCCACCACCCAATAGGGCCCTCTCTACCCCCCAGCACAAACCCTTCCTTGCCCCTGCATAATGCCCATCATGAAACCCAAATCCTCCCCCTCCCCTTACCCCAAGTAGCCCCTGCTTTCCCAACCCCTGGTCTTCTCCCTGCCCCAAGCAGGCCTGAGCAAGACCAAAGCCCTCTATCCCCCACTCCACCTCCCTCCAAACCCCTGTCAACTACACCGCAGGAGGGCGTGCCCTCTCCCCAAGCAATCCCTGCTCCCTCACCCCCAGGACTTCTTCCTGACCCAAGCAGGCCTGAGGAAGACCTAAGCCCTCCACCCCCCACCCCACCTCCCCCTGAACCCCTGGCAACTACCTCACAGGAGGAGGAGCCTACCCAAGTAGCAAGGACCATAGAACAACCTCCTACACTTGTAGGGAGTGTGGGTGAAATTGGATATAAGAAAGTGAGCTTCAAGGTAATGTACTCAAACATTGATGGGATTACCAATAAAGCAAGTGAACTGGCAGAAAGGGTGCAAGAAGAAAACCCTGATGTAATAGGACTAACAGAAACAAAATTGTCAGGAGTCATAACAGATGCTGTGTTTCCAAAGGACTACTATATAGTAAGGAAAGAGAGGGAAGGGAGAGGAGGTGGAGGAGTGGCCCTGCTGATAAGGAAGGACTGGAGTTTTGATGAGATGGAAATTCCGGGCTGTGACGGATTCAGAGATTACATAACAGGAACTATAACAATGGGTGGACCTAAGATAATAGTGACAGTCATTTACAACCCTCCCCTAAATGACAGAAGACCTAGACAGGAGTTTGATAGGAACAACATGGCAACTATTAATATAATAGAGAGAGCAGCTTCAGTTGCCTGCAGGAATGGCTCAAGACTCTTAATCATGGGTGATTTCAACCATGGAAAGATAGACTGGGAGAATGGGGACCCACATGGTGGTGCAGATACGTGGCGAGCTAAACTCTTGGAAGTGGCAACAAGGAATTTTCTGAGCCAGCATGTCAAGGAACCCACAAGAATGAGAGGCAATGATGAACCAGCTAGACTCGACTTAATATTCACCCTAAATGAGTCAGAAATAAGGGAAGTCAAAGTTGAAGCCCCCATAGGAATGAGTGACCACAGTGTACTGACCTTTGAGTACTTGGTGGAGGTAGGGATAACCTATCCAAGGATGGGAGTGGAGGGGAAAAGACTGAATTACCGAAGAGGAAAATATGACGAGATGAGGAACTTCCTAATGGGAATACCATGGGAAACAGAACTTAGAGACAAGAATGTGCAGGTCATGATGGATATTGTCACCCAAAAGTGCCAGGAAGCTGCAGACAGGTTTATCCCCGTCCAAAAGGAGAAAAACGAAAAACAACAGAAAAACCCATGGTTCAACCAGGAATGTAAGGTAGCGAAACAACTGAGTAAAAGAACATGGAGAAACTACAGAAATAACAGAACACCAGAGAGCAGGGAGAGGTACCAGAGGGCCAGAAATGAGTACATCAGAGTGAGGAGGGAAGCAGAGAGACAGTTTGAAAATGACATCGCGAGTAAAGCCAAGACCCAACCAAAGCTGCTCCACAGCCATATCAGGAGGAAAACAGCAGTGAAGGAACAAGTGATGAAGCTGCGGAAAGGGGAGAACAGATACACAGAGAATGACAAGGAGGTGTGTGAAGAACTCAACAAGAGATTCCAGGAGGTCTTCACAATAGAACAAGGAGAAGCCCCTGCACTAAATGAGGAGGCGGCAACCTTGGAAACCTTGGAGGAATTTGACCTCACCAGTGATGAGGTCAAAAGGTGTCTGCTGGAGCTAGATGTGACAAAGGCTGTTGGGCCTGATAGAATCTCACCATGGATACTAAAGGAAGGTGCAGAAGCACTAAGTGTGCCACTCTCTATGGTGTATAACAGGTCACTGGAAACAGGAGACTTACCAGAAAGTTGGAAGACAGCTAACGTGGTCCCAATATACAAAAAGGGTGACAGGCAAGAGGCACTGAATTACAGGCCAGTTTCCTTAACTTGTATACCATGCAAGGTGCTGGAGAAGATCGTGAGGAAAAGGCTCGTAGAGCATCTGGAGGGAAATAACTTTGTAACGCACCACCAACATGGGTTCAGAGATGGTAAATCGTGCCTCACAGGGTTAATAGAATTTTATGACCAGGCAACGAAAATTAGGCAGGAAAGAGAAGGGTGGGCCGACTGCATTTTCCTGGATTGCCAAAAAGCCTTCGACACAGTACCCCATAAAAGGCTGTTAAAAAAGTTGGAGCAACAGGCAGGAGTAAAAGGGAAGGTGCTCCAGTGGATAAGGGAGTACTTAAGCAACAGGAAACAGCGAGTAACGGTGAGGGGGAAGACATCAGAGTGGCGAGATGTCACCAGCGGAGTCCCACAGGGCTCAGTACTTGGACCCATCCTGTTTCTAATATATGTGAACGATCTTCCAGAGGGTATAGACTCATTCCTCTCGATGTTTGCTGATGATGCAAAAATTATGAGAAGAATCAAGACGGATGAAGATAGACAGAGACTACAGGATGACCTGGATAAACTGGAGGAATGGTCTAGAAAATGGCTGCTGAAGTTCAACTCTGGAAAGTGTAAGGTGATGAAATTAGGCGAAGGGAGCAGGAGGCTGAACACAAGGTATCATCTGGGAGGGGAAATCCTGCAAGAATCAAATAGAGAGAAGGATCTGGGGGTTGATATCACACCGAACCTGTCCCCAGAGGCCCACATCAAAAGAATATCATCAGCGGCATATGCTAGACTGGCCAACATAAGAACTGCCTTCAGAAACTTGTGTAAGGAATCTTTCAGAACCCTGTATACCACTTATGTAAGACCAATCCTGGAGTATGCAGCTCCAGCCTGGAGTCCATACCTAGTTAAACACAAGACAAAGTTAGAGAAGATTCAGCGGTATGCCACCAGGCTCGTCCCGGAACTGAGAGGATTGAGCTACGAGGAAAGGCTAAAGGAGCTGAACCTCACATCCCTGGAAAACAGAAGAGTAAGGGGAGACATGATAACCACCTACAAAATTCTCAGGGGAATTGACAGGGTGGACAAAGACAAACTCTTCAGCACGGGTGGGACACGAACAAGGGGACACAGGTGGAAACTTAGTACCCAGATGAGCCACAGAGACGTTAGAAAGAATTTTTTCAGTGTCAGAGTAGTTAATAAATGGAATGCACTAGGAAGTGATGTGGTGGAGGCTGACTCCATACACAGTTTCAAATGTAGGTATGATAGAGCCCAGTAGGCTCAGGAATCTGTACACCAGTTGATTGACAGTTGAGAGGCGGGACCAAAGAGCCAAAGCTCAACCCCCGCAAGCACAATTAGGTGAGTACAATTAGGTGAGTACACACACACACACACACACACACACACACACACACACACACACACACACACACACACACACACACACACACACACACACACACACACACACACACACACACACACACACACACACACACACACACACACACACACACACACACACACACACACACACACACCCACACACACACACACACACACACACACACACACACACACACACACACACACACACACACACACACACACACACACACACACACACACACACACACACACACACACACACACACACACACACACACACACACACCCACCACGAAACATGGAGAGCTAAGCTGCTGGACGTGGCAACAAGAAACTTTCTAAGCCAGCACACCAAAGAACCAACAAGAATGAGAGGAGAAGATGAACCAGCAATGCTTGATTTGATATTTACCCTAAATGAATGGGATATAAGGGAAGTTAAGATGGAAGCGCCCTTGGGAATGAGTGACCACAGTGTATTGAACTTTGAGTACCTGGTAGAGCTAGGACTTATCTCCCCCCAAAAAGAACTAGGAATCAAAAGGCTGGCATACCGAAAGGGGAATTATGAACAGATGAGAAGTTTCCTAAGTGAAATACCTTGGGACACAGACCTCAGAGACAAGTCTGTACAGGGTATGATGGACTATGTTACCCAAAAGTGTCAGGAGGCAGTAAACAGGTTCATCCCGGCCCAAAGGGAAAAATCCGAGAAGCAACAGAAGAATCCATGGTATAATAGGGCATGTATGGAAGCGAAGAAACTGAACAAAAAGGCGTGGAGGAACTTCCGGAATAACAGAACACCAGAAAGCAGAGAGAGATACCAGAGAACCAGGAATGAGTACGTCAGGGTGAGAAGAGAAGCAGAGAAAAATTTTGAAAATGATATAGCAAACAAAGCCAAGACCGAACCAAAGCTACTCCACAGTCACATCAGAAGGAAAACAACAGTGAAAGAACAGGTATTGAAACTTAGAACAGGCGAGGACAGGTATACAGAGAATGACAGAGAGGTGTGTGAGGAACTCAACAAGAGGTTCCAGGAGGTCTTCACAATAGAACAGGGTGAGGTCACTGTGCTAGGAGAAAGGGAGGTAAACCAGGCGGCCTTGGAGGAGTTCGAAATTACGAGAGAGGAGGTCAAGAGACACCTGCTGGATCTGGATGTTAGAAAGGCTGTTGGTCCAGATGGGATCTCACCATGGGTACTGAAAGAGTGTGCAGAGGCACTTTGCCTGCCACTCTCCATAGTGTATAGTAAGTCACTAGAGACGGGAGACCTACCAGAAATATGGAAGACGGCGAATGTGGTCCCAATATACAAAAAGGGCGACAGACAAGAGGCACTGAACTACAGGCCAGTGTCCTTGACTTGTATACCATGCAAGGTGATGGAGAAGATCGTGAGAAAAAACCTGGTAACACATCTGGAGAGAAGGGACTTCGTGACAAATCGCCAACATGGATTCAGGGAGGGTAAATCTTGCCTTACAGGCTTGATAGAATTCTACGATCAGGTGACACAGATTAAGCAAGAAAGAGAGGGCTGGGCGGACTGCATTTTCTTGGATTGTCGGAAAGCCTTTGACACAGTACCGCATAAGAGGCTGGTACATAAGCTGGAGAGACAGGCAGGTGTAGCTGGTAAGGTGCTCCAGTGGATAAGGGAGTATCTAAGCAATAGGAAGCAGAGAGTTACGGTGAGGGGTGAGACCTCCGATTGGCGTGAAGTCACCAGTGGAGTCCCACAGGGCTCTGTACTCGGTCCTATCTTGTTTCTGATATATGTAAATGATCTCCCGGAGGGTATCGATTCATTTCTCTCAATGTTTGCGGACGATGCTAAAATTATGAGAAGGATTAAAACAGAAGAGGACTGTTTGAGGCTTCAAGAAGACCTAGACAAGCTGAAGGAATGGTCGAACAAATGGTTGTTAGAGTTTAACCCAACCAAATGTAATGTAATGAAGATAGGTGTAGGGAGCAGGAGGCCAGATACAAGGTATCATCTGGGAGAGGAAATTCTTCAGGAGTCAGAGAAGGAAAAAGACTTGGGGGTTGATATCACGCCAGACCTGTCTCCTGCAGCACATATCAAGCGGATAACATCAGCGGCATATGCCAGGCTGGCCAACATACGAACGGCATTCAGAAACTTGTGTAAAGAATCATTCAGAACTTTGTATACCACATATGTCAGGCCAATCCTGGAGTATGCAGCCCCAGCATGGAGTCCATATCTAGTCAAGGATAAGACTAAACTGGAAAAGGTTCAAAGGTTTGCCACCAGACTAGTACCCGAGCTGAGAGGTATGAGCTACGAGGAGAGACTACGGGAATTAAACCTCACTTCGCTGGAAGACAGAAGAGTTAGGGGGGACATGATCACCACATTCAAGATTCTGAAGGGGATTGATAGGGTAGATAAAGACAGTCTATTTAACACAAGGGGAACACGCACAAGGGGACACAGGTGGAAACTGAGTGCCCAAATGAGCCACAGAGATATTAGAAAGAACTTTTTTAGTGTCAGAGTGGTTGACAAATGGAATGCATTAGGAAGTGATGTGGTGGAGGCTGACTCCATACACAGTTTCAAGTGTAGATATGACAGAGCCCGATAGGCTCATGAATCTGTACACCTGTTGATTGACGGTTGAGAGGCGGGACCAAAGAGCCAGAGCTCAACCCCCGCAAACACAACTAGGCGAGTACAACTAGGTGAGTATACACACACACACACACACACACACACACACACACACACACTCTCTTACCTGAAATGCTGTGCATAATTAGCGTCTTATACAAAATAGTTCAGCCACTGTAATATGCACAACACTTAAAATTACCCTCATTATTATTATTAATATTATTATTAACAATTTTATTAGTACAGAAAGAATGTTCAGCTAATTTAATCTTTCTAAATAAAGTCGGTTGTAATCATTATCTATGCATAAAATAGAATACATAAACAAAATATAATGGTTCAATTATTTCATTCAGAAAAGTTTGAAGAAACTAACCCATTGATAAGTGTGTACCAGTCTTGTTGGTCCGCTTTGCGTGCCTCCACTGTGTAACCTGTCACCACCGAGCCGCCATCATAGGTTGGGCCATACCATGACAAAGTGATAGAGTCTGCCGTCACCTCACTGTGGTTGGGCTTGTTAGCTGGAGGTTCAGGGGCACCTAAAACACACACAACATATGGGTTCATTTTTATTGCCTTAAAAAGACTAATCTCTCAAGACTAGGGAGTCATACACAATCCTCAATACAATACAGGACTCGCACCTGCATGCCTAGTGTGCCTATGCACTGTACTATAATGGTGAACAGGTGTTCTATATAAAAACCATTTAACTTTGCTGGTCACTCTTTATCTTCATTTTAGGCCCATGGATTGGCATGATGCAGTTTTACGAAAGGAGATTTTGCCACTGTCAAAGCCGGAAGAACAATGATGATCAAGGCCATCTGTGATTCAACCAAGAGCTAGCAACTCTTGGAGGGCATCATTATGCCAAGAGCGCGACAAGCCGTTAGAGGAGCTGCTGTGTGAGGTAGGGTATTGCCACTCAGTACATTACCAAATCCATTTCCCCCTTCTCTAATGTCTCAGTTTGACTAGTACCTAATTAGATCAGATTAGCAAGTATCAGGGGAAACTTTGTTTTCACTATGATCAAGTACTATCTAGAATTTTAATAATATTTTATATTACCACCATTATGACATTCCAATTGATTTTTTTTTTTTATAAATACTGCTCACAAGAGTGAGGTGGAGAGAGTACATTCAGATCGGTCACTTTGTGCGAGTTTATCCAGGTTTCTGATCACAGTTATTGAATTGCTCATTTGTAACGGTAACACAATTTAGTTCAAGATTTTATGGCTTGGTGAGAAGCAACAATGTTCTTTGTTATTTGTCTATAAGAAATCCTACCTCATGTGTTACAGAATTTGTATTTTTTTAGTATCTTTCTTATCTCCCATTTTAAATTAAATTAAAAAAAAAATGGAATTGGGAATATTTACTGCATCAAAGTAAGGGGGAGGTTATATGCAACTTGTTTTCCATTATATTTCTAGTTTCATTCAGTAAAGGTGATAAAATGTATACTAAATAACAATACAAGATGTAAACCTTTCATTATTAAAATCAACATTTATCCTTATATATGGTCTTATTTAATTTGGCTGTTTAAATTTATTTTCCTCTCCAATTGTTTATAGTCTAATCACAGCGTATCTTAGGAATATTATTGAAGAACCGCATCATAATATACTGTAGTTAGGAGATGTGAAATTTGCTTCCCACAGCAACATATTTAAATTCTGTACGCAAGATTTTTTCAACAATATTGTGAACCTGGAATACTTACTTCCTACAGCCAGAGAAGCAAAGGCTGCATGTGCCGCATGGACATTCCTCACCACAATAGTGTACTTGTCACAGTCCTCCTGAACCACATTGTGAATGGTGAGGCTGGTGACCCCTTCCTCCGTCTTTAATTCGTAACGCCCACCATTCACGATCTCTTGTTCCTGTACAAATAACACTTCAAATTAGTCACCAGTATATTTTTAATAATTCATATTTTAAAAGGACTGGGAAATATATTCTATGAGCATGTGCAAACCATAAGCCCTCGGAATTTACAAGAAACGATAAAATTTAATAAAAATATTGCATTATGCAGCAATTTATAATTCTCTCCACTGGGTAGTATTGCAAGATAAATTCAAATATTATACTGAACTTTAAACCTACATTTGCAATATAAAATTGTACAATTTACCCAAAACTATGCAAAATGAATACTACAATAACAAAATGATGTATTATATATCTAATAGGGTTACTGCTACTTTAGTTCACTATGGCTAGTGAAACTAAGCGATATAGGCTAGACTAAATATGGGTCATCCATTTACCACTTCGATGTTCATTACATATAAAGGATCCTCGGTAGCCAAACAAATAAGTAATCCCACTTGAGAGATCCCACCATTGCACCCACCTTGTCAATCACAAAAGGTATAATTATCAGATCGGATTCTGTAAATAAAAAATATCCAAGCAAGTGACAGGGTCTTAAACTATGTGCCACAGTTCAAATTATACTGAACAAATAATAAAAAAAATTTTTACAGATATAAAATATGGACATCTTTTTAAATTAAATGGGCAATTAATAAATTCTGTAATAATTTCATTATTAATTTTAATATTTTAATGTGGGGCTGTTGTAGGGGGTGTGGGGCTGTTGTCAAATTTCCATTATTTCATATTTTCATAAATTCACTGCAGTATACTACTAAACTGAGAAACCTCTGCTAAAACCATATTAAAATAGGGAGGAAATTGAACTATAAACCTATGGGACAGTCCCTGGCCACTCAACACTATAATCACACCCAGTTCTCAATAAATTTCTTTTACCTTAAAGTTGAAAATACAATTATGGAGTACTGTAGAGCTTTTATGTTTCCATCAGTTCCCCAAAACCCTCTAACCTTGCCACACACTACTAGCACATATTATTCTTAGTCTAACACGACTTGCCAGTGACTGCACTACACACTTGCATGTTTTATACATGTACTGTATCGAATAAAGAGCAGGCTTCATGACAAGTATTAAATAGTGAAAGGACTACACCAGTATGCTGCAACTAAATTGCATTTCACACCTGTACTCTATTATATAATGGTATTCTAGATTTCTCATTACAGATTTTGTACAGCCAAATACTATCAGTTGTGTAAACTCCAAAACTTGCTGCAACGTATTTTTGTTGCTACTGTATCCCCATATCTGGCATAATTAAAAAAATTGAGTTTACTGCTTAATAACAGTATTGTACAGTATGTAGCGAACAAGTTTCATGTTCTTAAACATTACATCTACAGGTCTTATTTGAAAGATTACAAATAGATACCCTGTCTCCTTTCCCCAATCATCTCTTACGAGTTGGCTAAGAAGTATTTTGCTGCAACGTATTTTTGTTGCTACTGTATCCCCATATCTGGCATAATTAAAAAAATTGAGTTTACTGCTTAATAACAGTATTGTACAGTATGTAGCGAACAAGTTTCATGTTCTTAAACATTACATCTACAGGTCTTATTTGAAAGATTACAAATAGATACCCTGTCTCCTTTCCCCAATCATCTCTTACGAGTTGGCTAAGAAGTATTTTCCATCATGCAGGCGTCGTGTAAAACCTGTTAATTTATTTAGCACCACTGCTAATTATGACCATTTTCTCATGGAGGATGATTAGCCTAATGCCAGAAGCACTAATTTATTACATATACTGTACTGTATATATATGTATATACTATATATATATTAAAAGAGTGCTAGTACTATCGAGGCAAATATTTCTAAAGTACAAACCACATCTTGGTAACTGCATATGTTTGTTTCAAACTCCAGTGGCTGAAAAATATATTTCAATATAACTTACAATATGAAGGATTTGGAATCTAAATGTGATTTTTTAAAATTATGGTAAGTAAAGTTTCACCCATACTGAGATATACCAACACTGAATATACACTAAGATTTTTTCATTTACACTAAGTATATACATTACTGTGTAGTGAACTGTGAAGATTGACTATTACTTGCCACCTTAAACAGTGCAAGAAAATGGAACCTTCATAAAAATTCACGACATTTAGACAATCGATGAATTTGAAAAACTATAAAATAAAAAATTAGTGTAGCACGTTACCTTCTTAAGCCAAGAAACGATAGGTTCTGGTTTTCCTGTAAAGGTGGCTGTGAGGGTGGCTGACTGGCCCTTCAGAACCGTCATGTCCAGAGGTCCCTGCATGATCTCTGCACCAGATTCCTCATCTTCCTCTGCCTCCTCCTCCTCCTCCTCCTCCTCCTCCTCCTCCTCCTCCTCTGCTGCTGCTGCTGCTGCTACCTCATCCTCTCCTGCTGCTGCCATTGATGCTACCACCTCTTCTACTATTGCTACTTCTGCATCCTCCTCCACTGCCTTGTCAATAGTCTTCACTTCCATCTCCTCTTTCTTCAACTGTTGGATTTCCACATTTCTTAGCGGCTTTATTGTATCAATCTGTCAATAAATCGTGTATAAAGAAGTTATTAAAATTGTCATACTATTATATTAAAATCTAGGCCAGTAAAGAAATTGTCAGAATTCATTGCCAATTACCAACATGGCAAAATGACCAATATATTACACGAGCATATACTGTACCTTCAAGCGGTCTTTATAGGTGTTGTCATACTCCAATTCACTAACATTGGAGAGAGAGCTGCTGCAGCCACTGGCCGAGTCCCGGAGACTTGTACTACCATAAGCAGAGTCCACACTACCCGTCAATAAGTTGGTCACCTGCCGAAACATACGGTATTATGTTCATATGCATAATTATATTTGTAACAAACTTTGCAACTGCAAAATATTCAAATGCTTAGGACTATTGCCTTAGACTTCTACAATACTTACCCAGACATCCTGAGTAACATTAAGCAATGGGCTAAATTAAGTCCACTTATGGATGGGCACCAACAAATTAAATAGGTCTAATATTGGGAAAAACTATATAAATCCAAGAATAAAAGCATTCAAATTAGAAGTAAAAATGAAGGGCTGCAAGTTGATAAACTTTTCCCAACACTAAAGCATAAAACAGTTTCACACTGAATTATGCCAGCCACTTCACTCTTCCTACTTTACCTGTTCTTAGCTATCAGTGTCCCGTCTATGGGATCTGTGATACAAACACTGCTAACTACCTCAAACCCATCATTACCCTTTCAAAAGATAGCCATCAAAACCTTAACCTCTGTACCCAGAAGACGTATATAGTACCCAGTCCCTGAGCCCATTATGTGCCTCTGTAACCCTTTCCACTACTGCCCACAAGATGGGTATGGGGTGCATAATAAATGAACTAAACTAACCAACACACACCTTACATTCTGCAGAATCTTTACAAAATCTGTACTGCAAGGCAAACTCACTTGAAATTACAAAGAGGGTTCTGGCAGAATCAATGAACTTTATGCAAAAAATAAATGTATAGTACCTAACATATTATTACACATTGGAGACAAGTCATGTCAATTATACTTTTTGCTTAGTTTTAAATATTAGATATTACAGTGCAAGAGAGTTGCCATTTCTGATTTTAGACTACACAGCTTATTTCATAATGTGCATTTTCCTTTATCTACTAGAATTGAAATACTCTATAGACACAGTGCAAGCACTTCAGATACTTTAAAATTTAGAATAAATTGATTTGGCATTTCATGCAATTCAAGTTTAGATTCATCCCAAAATGGCTACCTTTTCACACACTAAAAAGTAACAATCAAGTGCATGTCCTGGTTTTTACCAAATACGAATGAAATACCCTTTGTTTTTATTTTATTTTACTGCCAGTATCAACATGACTATCTCCTAGATTATTACCTACAATTATCATGCTTTGTTTTTCTGAAGTTTAATAACAATTTGGCTTCACTTTATAGTAACTAAATTTTTAACATCACCAAAACCCTACTTACACTGCACTAAATTTGGTAATATTGTCACTACTTGCTAAATAAAATCTTCATCTTGGTTAAATTGTCAGTCCTATTCTTTTATGTTATTCTAATTCACATCATCCTTCTTACTATTTGAATTAACGTTTCCATTAATTGCACACTAAAAACGCTAATTTAAATCAAATTACTTTTTCTCTATCATTGTTATGAATGTTCATGAACTACTGTAGTCCTAAGTACTGTATGGCAATAGACCAACACAGAATTGTTTAGCAAACTCTCTTAAACTCTTACACTGTAAAATTAAGACAAAACCAACATGTCAATAATTATTCTTCTTCGGCAAGTAATTATCAAAGGCACCCAGCCAGTAAGATTCTTATCAAACCTCTTCTTCAGGTCATAAGACTTGCATGAAGCATTGAACAGAGGCATTGCACAAAACCATGCAACATTAAATAATCAAATACACCGTACTCTATGCAGTACTTGCAAATTTTATTTTAATGCATCACCAATGAAAAATTTGCACATTGTACAGCTCATCCACGAAGAAAACAATAATACACGCAAAATTAAGTAGAGTGGCAGTCACTGCTTGGCGTTAGTGTGGTAAACTAACGAGGCTTTCAGTTTAAATGTTAAGCTACAGTACTCGAGAACTCTCGTCATACTCAAATTAAATGGTTATTGCTTTCAAACTCCTAATAATTAACTTTTCTAGCACCATGATGTGAATATTAGTAAAATACAACGTTTTAAACTATAGTTATTGAATTTACAAAGCTTTTATGTACTGTATTGCACACAAGTGCAAGAAATTAATTTAGCCATTACAGCACATGATAAAGGTATTCACAAAATTTCAAATAAAAATTTTAAGTAAATTTTTTTTTTTTAAATTAGGCAAAAGCACACATTTGCCAAAAAAATTCAATGATGCATTGTTCAGTTGCAAAACCATACATAATTACAACATTTATAAAACATGCTAGTGTAGACTTGCCTCCTTCAGCATGGGTCTTATCCTGGGTGCAGGGGAGGTTGAGGTAAGAAGTGGAGTGGGTGCCGATGAGCTGCCAACGGCGGCACCAGTGCTGGATGATCCACAAGGGGCAGACTGGGTCCGCTCAGCTCGCCTGGCATACGGTTGCACCTTTAATACAGCAGTGTATTAATTAACAACATATATAGCGTCTAGAAACATTGTCATCAATGTTTTAAGAGAGAATGAACCGAGCTTGCGAAACGTAACCTTTGAAAAGAATAGACTAGGAAAAAATAACCATATAGTACTTACAAACATTCAATGGGGAATTGTTCTAAGTAATAGAAATCCCAGGCAAGGAAAATAACGGACTGTGAAGGCATATAAAGTCTGAAACATGTCCCATTGTGGAAAGCCAGAAATAGAACCAGCTTAGAAAGAGAACACAGATGGCACTACAGAAGAAGAAAAATAATGGAAATGCATAAGTGAACAACTATCCCTACAAAGAAGGGATAATTTAAATAGGGAGATTGAATTAATAGAACAGACTGAAGCAAACAGATTGAAGAAATGGAATTAGAACAAAGCCAGACAAGAGAAAAAAATCCTAAATATTTCTTCACATGTGAAATCGAAATCACAAACCTCCGTAAGTACTGGATCTATGCCTACAAGTGAAGGTTAATTACAAGTGTCGTCCTCTGTGAAGGAACACTGGATGACAAAGAAATTAATGAAATCCTAAAAACAGCCTTATGAGGATAAGTTTAGCATCCTAATAAACGGCATGCATGTGGAAGTTCTGGACAGCTTCCTTATTCACAATATCCAAACCACTGAGAATATAAACATCACCACTAACTGCAGATTTTGAGAGAAATTGGCAGCATGCCCAAACACTCAGCCCCAGATCCAGACTTCTGGACTCCATACAGTATATCTAGAAATGCAAAATGCCAGTAGCACAAGCTACTGGCACTTTTGTACAAGATTTTTCTCTAATGGGGGAGATATCAGAAGTGCTTAAATCAGCAAATATAGCTCCACTACACAAGGGAGGGAGCACAGCATTGGCCAAGAATTATAGACCAGTCACTGACATCCCAAATAAAGGTTTTTGAGCGACTTACCAGGAGTCGGATCTCCAGTGTTATGGAGGCCAGTGACCTCCACAACCCAGGCCAATGCAGGTTTTGCAGCTCCTCTACCACTACAACAAAATCACTGATGAATTAGATGAAAAACAAAAATGCAGATGTGGTATGTATGAACTTTGCAAAGGCATGTGATAAATGTGACCATGGAGAGAGAGCCCACAAACTGAGGTCAATAGGAATAACAGGTAAAGTACATTTATGTACAGTACTTTAAATGTACATATTTGAAGATGAAGAAATGAAGATAGATATTCAATTTTCTATTAAACAGAATACAAGAGTAACAGTCAAATAATATAGAGTACAAGCACAATGAAAATCTCTGTACATCAGGGCACAGTCCTCGCACCACTGCTTATCTTTATTTTCATGTCAGATACACACAAAAATACAAGCCACTCCTTTGTGTCATCACAAAAAAAAATAAAGTGAATATAAAATTATTACATAGTAAAGTAACACTGCAATTATCAAAAGAAAGGCATGTCTGGATGGGGTAAAAAAAAAAATTGGTATAGGACTTAATGTTTGGACAATGTAACAAATAGAATATCTTATCGAGCAAATATGATAAAGATCAGTGTGATAGAAGTTCATTTGCTGCTTGATTATATAAGCACATATGAAACCAGTTTTGTCACAACCATAAAAAACTGCAATCAAGGGGAATTTGTACGTACAATTAAGGATGCATGCACTTTCAAATTAAGATTTTTGGGGAGGGGGTTTAGTATGACACTAAATATCAACTGGGGCTTTTTTTTTTTACATCATTCTTGCCTTTCCTCACGTGGACTAAACAGCTGCAGGTATTCCTCAGCACTTACCTTTAGAGTGGTTGAGGCAGTGTCTGATCCGAGACAATTTTCTGCGACAACAGAGATAACACCAGAGTCAGTAGAGAGTGCATGGAGGATGCCCAGAGTGTGAGGGACAGGCTCATCTACTCCAACGTCCTCGTCCATTTCCACCTGTCACCATCAGAATATAATTAATGCACCATAAACTACCCTTCATGTTTAATCCTAGGTAACAGGTTGTAAAGTACTAGTTTACTATATATGCACTTTCATTGGTTTTAATGTCTATTGAATGATAATTGATATTTTGGGATTATCTTCCAGCACAAACGTGTTCCTCTTCAACCTTACTGGTATTTTTGAGACGTAGCCAACATGGAAGATATCAACCATGACCAGCACAGGTAGGTAAGCCAGAAAAGTTAACATTCTTTGTGGAAAAAAATGGAGCAAAGCATATAGTATAGTAATTTCAAACAGATTATACCAGAGTTTAGTAGAGAACTACCATATCTATAGTGACCTTGGCGAGGAGAGAAAACTGGCGACTTATCTAAGGCATCTTAATTTTTCCATGATTTTATTAACTTTGTGACCAAACCACACACCAGAAGATGAAGAGACGACGACATTTCGGTCCATCCAGAACCATCATCAAGTGGATTATGACAATCGACTATAATGGTCCAGGACAGACTGAAACGTCGTCGTCTTCATCTCTTGGTGTGTGATTTAGTCATCACATCTTCAGCCATCACACCGTCTGTTTATTCAATTGGATTTTGAATTCCAACAACGGCTTGCCCATCAATCTGACTTTGATCCTTCTTGTTTTAAGGAGATTATATTTTGGTTATGCTAGGACACACAAAAGTGAAGAATTTTATTTTATCTTCCTTTGCGAGAAGCTATTTATACAAATGAAAATAAATTTTAGGATACAAGTTTATTAAAAATCAAATTAGCAGGAACTATGCTAACCAAATAAATGCACTTTTACAAGAACCTTTATGGTTTAGTTTTGAACTGCAGATTATAAGGAACGTCAAACTATTAGGAGGGCAGACAGTACTGTATTATTTCGTTACTTTTTTTTTTTTTTTTTTTTTTTTACCCAATTTTTTCACGAAAGCCACAATTCCTACTCTCAATGGGGACAGGAAGCCCGAGGTTTGTGAAAAATGCCTGTTGTTTCTGAACATGGTTTCCTGTTGTACATATATTGAATTAATACTTCCTTGGTATTTATAGTTTTGGCAGCAAGAGACTCCACACATATACATATTACCCCTATGAATGAAAAAACATGTGTCCACCATAGAAATTCTTTCCATGTTGAAGCATGAAAAAGTTATGCCTTTACATTCACTTAATACATAATGCTCAAGTCTGGAGATTGTGTTGGGTATTAAATCATACCCAATACTGTACATCTTATGTATTACTGTAACAGCTTATCAATTGTTCTCATACACAAATATCATCCTAACCACCTGACAGATAAGTGCTGGTGTTATCAATATCATCAATTACCCATAATAAATTATTACAGCAATGTTTTCACATTCCTCAGTTTTCAAAAACAATTTAAAAAAACTCAAAATATATTCAAAAGATTAAAGTTAGCTTAATGTCATTATAATTGCATGTATATTTCATTATGTTAATCAATTGCTATACATTTAGTAATTCATTTTCCTCTAATCATGCCTACTATTTCACTGTGGATATTCATTAAAAACTTACCCTGATCCTAGGTGTGGGCGTGATCTTGCGGCCATCACAGTACCAGGTGATGGTGGGTCGAGGGGAGCCATGCACACCAACACACAACCTGGCTGCTAAGCCTTCTTCCACCTCGAGGGGCGTAAGGCACCCGACCAGGCGGGGAGGACTTGACTCCACTACTCTGGGATCTGTACAGAAAATATGCATGTAGTCCTGGTCATCCTGATCGAGGATCGGGCCACAGGGACGCTAAGCCCCGAAATCATTACAAGGTAACCTCCCAAGGTAGTGCATTTATTATACACTATGTAGTGTATGATATACTGAAACTGTGCATGTATATAATTTTTTCAAGACAAAATAGTCTGTATGGCTTATTATACGACTTCCCTAGCTAAGGCTGCCCATTGAGTTGCTGGCCAAACCTAACAAGGTTTAACCCGACAGCAATTCTCACACTCAATATGTGCATTGTATGTACATTTGTGTATAGTCCAGAAGCAGGTTTGAACAAGACTTCATATCAAAACAATCAGAAGATGTTGGAATAAACCCCTAACTAACATTAATATTAAACTATGCCAGAAACACTGCTCATGATTTACAAACATTAGAAAAAATCTATGAAATCACTGATCTTTTAATTTTAATAAATTATAGTTGTTTATATTAGAACTAACTAAAGATGCGACGGAAATGTTATCAAATGTGCTGTAGTTTCATTTAATTTGCTGGACTCATTTCACCTAGATCTTAAAACTACCAAGACAGATTCCAATATTATGAAAAGCATCTAGATCATGCATGCTCTAAGGGTCCACTTACAAGTTTTTCCAATATTATCAGACCTGAAAGTAAGAACATATGTTAAGAGTGAATTGGGTTGTCTTAATGCTTTAAGTTGTTTAACAGTTAATGTCTCAACTAGTATGAACGTAAACTATGAGGCCCGCAAAATAATGACCAAGGCAAACTAAACTGTGATGGAGGAAATATTGAAGGACTTTAGAGAGCCAGACATCCTTACACTGATTACAATATCTTTTCTGACCTGATGTCTACCCCTACACTTTAAGAAATAATTTGCAAATATCTTTTTTACTTTTTTGTCTTAAAGTAATCACCCATCCAGCAAACAATCCAAGCTCTTATCACTGGCTGCTTCAGTTTCGCCCAAAATATCAACTAAAATGAAATACAACTTATGAGTGATGTACAGTATACAGTATAATAGTGTAGCAAGTCTACCGAACAGAATACAATAACCTTATCAGCAGGGACACCCCAGTTGAATACTTAACAAAAATGATTGGTTGATGAACACTTTAGATCCTGTTTAAATCATACCGTATCTAAAGTGAGTTTGATTCATGCTAGCCTATGAATCTACTGTTAATGAAATATGCAGAGGCCAAAGTCCCAAGAATTCACATTACTGTACATTTAGTCTGTTAATCATCTTTCAGATTACTATATGAATTTTACCAATTTCCTACTTATTTAAAGTTGCATCTAATGTTTAAATTTAAAAAAATAATATGAGGACATTATAAAATTACAACTTCTGAACAAGGGACCATATATTTAAGTTATGGAAACAAATTAAAAAAAAAAAAATAATGAAGTTCCCTTTTGTGAACAGGGTTGTGAATGTTTGGAACAATTTAAGGAGAAAGGTGATGGATGCCAAAGCCAGTCGCCAATTTCAAACTTTCATATAACAGATTATAGGGAAGACAGGAAACTGCAAACGTAGTTCATCCTTTAACTACACTTTGGTAATCATTAATTACATTAATTACAACACGTGCCACCCCAAAACCAACTTGAAAGGAAAGCCTTTTTGGAATCTAAACTAAAATACCGAAGGGTGTATTGATTGGTTCATGTATAAATTTGTCTTAAGAGAATGAAAATTAATGTTGGTGATGAGTCACAATAACGTGGCTAAAGTAAGCAAGATCGACTTGAGAATGGTCCAGGACGGACCGAAACATCATAGTCCCTTCACCTTCTAGTGTGTGGTCTGGTCAAAATTAATGTTTATAAGTCAAGGTTATTCTTATGTTCCTACCATTTTAATTAGATGTACATTATAACATTTGCAGAGGACACTCCCATGGCCATCCAGGTGACCACCAGAGTGGAGGGAGACTGGTCCCTCTGCTCTAAAAGCCCATGACCAACAAAAAAACAAGCACATATGGCAAGCCTTTGATGCAGAAATTCAGCCATGTATACGAGTACAACAGTATTCTTTATTTTTATGTATTTAATACTGAACAAGCCTATTGTTCAAATGCATGAAGAAATTAGGAGTTACTTGAACACGACACTAACTTGGCAATTAAAGTAATCATAAGCATATACTCTCTACAAATCCACACACATTAGCTACCACATTAGACATTTCACTAATGAGATTGCCCATTACATTATGCAAAAATAACAAGCTTAGAAAACAAACATATTTGGCATTAACTGGCTACACGAGGAAATAAACCAAATTTAAACACGCAACTTTTTGGCTTGCCTTAACGTTAATACTGTACAAGAGTACCCAACCTTCAACCACAACAGTCAGAAAGGCACTAGTTTGCCTGGTTCTTACTTACTGGCTTATCACATTACCTACTGATCAGTGATAACCAGGATACTCCTCTGATAATGACCAGAGGCAAGTAAATACTGCTCGTAAACACCAGCTGTAAGGCCTACCTCTGTGTGGTGGGTAATCTTCAAGCCCTTAGCTGCACATGTTAATTTGTCACTAATGAATCCTTTGGACAATATTTTGATGTACAATTTAATTCAAATTTTTATAATTTTTTTGCAATCTTGTTATTTTATATGAAAAAAGGAGTGACATCTAAACTAAACTACTAGCCTTTTTGTCACTTAAAATAGCTACCAATTCTTTGACAACTACATACCAAGACACTACACATTTACCAGTTGATTGACGATTGAGAGGCGGGACCAAAGAGACAAAGCTCAACCCCCGCAAGCACAACTAGGCGAGTACATTCATGCCAATTATTCCAGCAATGACATGTACAGTATGCAGGGGAAGTCTACTACAGCACTAGACATAACCATTAATATAAGCCATTATAGTACTGTAGTTCACAAAATCAAAACTTACCATGGACATCTAGCTTGCAGTGGCAGTGGGCATCTCCATGGGCATTATAGGCTTCACAGATGTAGATGCCAGCATCTTCTGGGAACACATCGCGGATAACAAGTGAGAATTTGCCACAGACGTCCTCCTTGTAGAGGAAGTCAGGAGAGTCCGAGATGATCTGATCGTCACGAACCCACACCACCTTCATGGGCCGCGACCCTGTCGGGACATACATGGGGTGATAACAGTAGACACTCAAGAAGTCAATCTATATTATCTTCTTATAGCACTGTGCATACTAGTGCTTTAGGCACAGTATATACTAGCTCTATCTAAAAATTGAACATTCTGTTTGTAACTCATTTTGTATATACAGTATGTACTTTTACCTGAATAATAATTTATTATTATTATTATATTCCAAGCCTTGTTGTTTACCAGCTAGCACGGGATTTGGTCTTTGGTGTCTCTTCCCCACCCCTTCCCTCCTCTACATGACCTCAGTCTCAAATTCTCTGCAGCTCATTGTGTCGGGGGACTGGAAGCCTGAGTGTATTCACACACATTAGGCTTATATCGCATGCACCTCAATTGGCGTACTCACCCGAGAGCCTGACGGATAGTGTGACCTCGTCGCCATCCAGGGCGGTGAGATCCTGGAGTGGTCTGAGGAAGTACGGCGGCTGGTCTCCAGTGTCATTGTGATACTCCACCATCACCTGCAAGATACAAGCCCTATTTACTTTAAATTAAACTACCAACCACACAGGACTGACTATATCGCCATCCTCAGTACTATAACCACACAGCAGGGTGGTAATTAGGGTCCGGCGGCCTCCCCATATCGTTAATCGCGTTATGTATGAATACCGAAAAAAGTAAACCTTGCGATCCTTTTATCCTTTATCTCAAATGTCAGTATCTTATCTGTTAAAATTTTACACCAGCCACAAGTCAAAATAATAAGCGTACGTCTTTATTTAGCTGATGCCTTCCTCACTAGTGACTTCGACCCAGTGTCTTCTTCAATAACAAACTGACGTCACGTCATGAACCCGAAGCTTGGTCATCAACTCATCTGCTCGTTCCAGCTACGAGCTGCTCCAAAGGTGAACTAGTAAATCTTTTCTTTGTGTGTGATAACAAACGGGATTTTCTCAAATATAAATTAATATTGGTATATATTATAGACTTGTGTATAGATGGCTCTGTTGGAAATAATTTATACGTGTATTTGTGGTTCGTGGTGAAACGTTTAGAGGGGGAAACGTGGGCTTCGAACGCACTGGTGAGTGAGCGAAGCGCACACTCGGAAAATTTTCGTATGCAATAAAGTTCGCTATATGTGTAAATTGTTTCAAATTTACGAACACAGTTTTTGGGATGAGATGAGACTAGAAACCTTGTATGAGTTACCTGCATGTTTTTATTAATGTGGCCCGTTGATCCTTTTCTCAAGATATTCATTCAATATTTGATTATAAATGATCAATAAAGTAATATATGTTCATGCCGCAGTTAGCGTATCCTTTAAACCTTTATTGGATAATCAGTAATCCAGTAGCCACGCCACTGTTTAAAAATTAAAATCATTATATATGGCTGGCAACTGATATTAAGTTTGTAATGTTCTCAGACGGTGTTTCACCCATGAACTGTTTAAATACAAATAATTACCAAACAGTATACAGATAGCCTGAAGGTTCCAAACGGATGAGTTGATAGTTGCCATAGTCACGGCAGAGTTTGACGCTCGTAGTGCTTCCAAATGTAAATTCATCAGGTCATGATAAAATCAGTAGCAGGATTCGAACCCGTTACGGGAGACCTCCCGTCACGCAGGGTGCAGTCCCACCTCCACAGATCTCCAGTATCAGCTCTTGATACTGGTAATGGCTCAAAAGGGCCACCACTTACGGCCTATTCATGCCCGTGCCACCTTTTGGGTGGCTTAATCTTCATCAATCTGTAACACATTCGGTGCAGTCGCACCTCCACAGATCTCCAGTATCAGCTCTTGAAACTGGTAATGGCTCAAAAGGGCCACCACTTACGGGTTATTCATGCCCGTGCCACCTTTTGGGTGACTTAAGCTTCATCAATCAATCAATCAATCAATCATCGAACCCGCACACACTTGGTACTCACAACCCAGCCCGTCCTCCAAACAAAGACCCAAAATCGATTCCATGCACCCGCCAAACCCCCTGTTTATGAATGAAAAACGGTTTACACACGACTCAACTGTTGACGTTCTAACTCCTGGGATTCAGCTGAACCCTCTAGGGATCTTGAAGTTTCTACGGAAGCCCAATCAGGGTTTTACGTATTGTGCTAGGGCGTGTACGTACCTGGGAGTACTAAGTGTGTGGCTTCGAATTCTGATTTTGCACATGGCACATGTGCAAAATCATGGCCACACATGGCACATGTGTGGCACACATGGCACATGGCTCCGACTGATTTTGTCATAGATGAAGCAGCATATGCTGCTTCAGGAAACTTTCCTTATTATGATTACTCAATAGCTCCGTTGATAGAGCTTCGGACTCACACACATGGGGTCCACGGTTCGAGTCTCCCAGTTCCCATGTGAATGGAATATGCGAGAGAACTTTCAGCGTTCATAAAAAAAAGAAAGATATATATATATATATATATATATATATATATATATATATATATATATATATATATATATATATATATATATATATATATATGGGCAAATACACATACAGCCAGGACACAGACCTCACAGGAGCACTCCGCCTTGCCAGCATCATTGACGAGGACGCAGGTGTAGGTGCCAGCGTCCCCGGTGGTGGCTGAAGGGATCTCCAGAGACGCTGACGTTCCGTCGTAGTTCTGCGGGAACTCTTCGCACAATGGCAGCAGCTCGTTGTTCCTGCCGGACCATCAAAGAGGACCTGTAAGTTAGTGTACTCAGATGTGTAGGCATGTGTCGGGAAACGCCTCCCGAGCCCTGCCTTTTGAACTATTATTAGTTTATCAATTCAATAACCATTCACTCGTTGTTTTGCGTTCTCTCTTGAATATGTAACGTGTTTTATGTAAATGACGACACAAGTCGACATGTTTGTTGTGTGTTTTAAGATTCTATAAAGCACAAGCGCACATGCACGCATTCAAATGCTGCAATCACGTGCGGATATGTTCCCTTTGTCTCCAATTATTTGTCTCATTCTTTTTCTTTCCCTTTCCTGTATATATATGTGTGTGTATATGTACCCCAATTTAGCTTCCGTACGCTCCTCACCTGTACCACTTGACCCTGGGTGTGGGCGAACCACGGTACTCTGTGGAGAGTCGTATGGTGGAGGCCTCCCTGACGGTGGTGGAGGGCATGGTGCGGGTGAAGCGAGGCGTCGTCAGCGGGGAAGAGTACCACGACCTGACGTAGCCGCTGTACTTGTTCCCTGTCGCCTCTGTGGGAGACGCACACACACTGGTTATCCTCACTTGTGGGTACCAAATATTACGTACAAAAAGTAATAAGCTTTGCAGACGAGGAGTCACAATAACGTGGCTGAAATATGTTGACCAAACCACACACTAGAGAGTGTAGGGACGACGACGTTTCGGTCTGTCCTGGACCATTCTCAAGTTGACTTGAGAATGTCCAGGACGGACCGAAACGTTGTCGTCCCTTCACTTTCTAGTGTGTGGTTTGGTTAACAAGCTTTGACTGGGCGACAAAATATGATTCCAGAATTTAGTCGACGCTCATCCCAGCAAGAGTGGAGGACCACACGGCTAACACTATAAAACTAACCATATGACAGGGATGATCACATTGCAACTTTGAATAATACTCAAATACTGAACATTTTAGAGGATATTAATTCAGACCAATTCTTAAAAAGGTCAAATGTATTACAAACAAGGAGCAATGGTTCCAAGCTCAACAAGCTACAATGTAGGACAGAAAACAGGAGAGGCTTTTACAGCCATAGGGTTATAAACCCGTGGAACCGCCTACCTGCCGAAGGTGTAAACGCCCAGACATTGCTTCAGTTCACAATCCAGTTAAATAAAATCACCAGGAAAAGCGGGGACACCTTTGATAAACCGTAGGCTTTCTGTCCCCGTCGAGGCCACTAGGTTAGGAGTATAATGATAAGCCCTTTCCTCGAAGAGTCCAAGTTATATGACATAGGTTAGGAGTATAATGATAAGCCCTTTCCTCGAAGAGTCCAAGTTATATGACAAAATTATTAAAACGGTTGAGAACTGGTTGCAAGATAACAAGATCTTGCAAGATAACAAATGAACAAGATAACATTTACAGTATTATGAAAATTAAATTATCCTGTTTAATCTTCAGTTGTATACAAAGGTCATAATTTTTACATCTAATTGTCTAGAATAAACTATACTGACAAATTTGCTGAAAGTATACATACTGTGAGTGTAGAGTGACACAAAATATGACGTAGAGTGAGTGACCAACCAGGCTGTGATTCATACGTCAGGCTGCGAGCAGCCGCATCCAACAGCCCGGTTGACCACTCTAGCAACCAGGAGGCCTGGTCGAGAACCGGGCCGCGGGGACCCTGAGCCTCGAAATCATCGCAAGGAGTGAAACCTGCGCGGCCCGGTTGCCGATTGAATGAAGACATACTTCACGGACGTAGTCTATGACTTATGACTTTTTGGTGGGAATATAATGGTAGACGACCACGGGTAACATGCTCACGCATTATAAGACTCCTAACACCTAGGGCTCAATATATAAATTTGTTGAAAAGTTTTTCCTATTTTAATATTACCATGAGAAAATGTAGAGGTCATACAATGAGCTCAAACCCACGTCCCTAAATTCCTCAGACACACATGCATGCACTACCAACTGAACTATGATGAACTTATTACAAGACTTCTGGTGGTTTGGAAGTAACAATTTTTGTTCCTATGTAATAAATGATATTTTCTGATTGTTTATGCCTTCTGCAAAGTATAGCAAATGGCAATTGTTCATCTCGAACTTCGCTTTGACTCTTGCTTCAGACAGCTTAGGAAAGACGTCTTGAGGGGTACTCGAAGGCTGCCGATATTGTTTCTTAAGTCGGCTGCCTTCAGCTTCCCGCCAAACACACACCGAAACTACGACGTTGGTACAACGTTCGAACAAGTTTTAACACCTAACCAGTTATAACAACCAATATAGCAAGTTGTAATATCGTTCTAATACGTCATAAACACGTTAAGCCAGCAACAACTTTATTACAAGTTGTAACAAGCTGAAAATAGAGACAGTTAGGGTTTGTGTTTCCAGGGATTTCTTTAAGACGTGCCTTCCCAACCTGAGGCAAAGGTCACAGTAAAGTTTGTGGGGAGAATAACAGCCATATTCTACACGTTTAAAAGCATAAGCAATCAAAAATAACACTACCAGGAACACAAAATAAATATTATACAGTGTTTATTAATGTTAGTATGAAGATGGCAAGTGTTACGTGGAGCCGATGACTTACTGATCACATCCAGTCTAGCTGTGGCCTGCTCCCGGCCCAGGTCGTTCTCTATGGTGACCCTGTAGAGGCCGGCGTCCTGCTGGGAGACCTTAGGGATCTCCAGGATGCGGATCTCGTCCTTCTCCGTCATCTTGAAGCGACCATCATCCAGGAGCCTTATGGAGTCCTTGTCCCATATCGCCCTCGGTACCGGATACCCTAACGTGGGTAAGTGTCAGGTTATAAGGCGCGGGGAAATGGGGGGTTGGGGGATATTTTGGTGGTTTGTTGTGGTTGATTTGTAAAATGGTTATTTGTAATGGACGTAATGGCACTTGAACGAGTTAGTGTTAATGATAAATAAACCTTTGACGAGCTTGATTTCTTTCCCTCAACACGCATACCCTGTATAGATATATATATATATATATATATATATATATATATATATATATATATATATATATATATATATATATATATGTATATGTCGTACCTAGTAGCCAGAACGTACTTCTCAGCCTACTATGCAAGGCCCGATTTGCCTAATAAGCCAAGTTTTCATGAATTAATTGTTTTTCGACTACCTAACCTACCTAACCTAACCTAACTTCTTCGGCTACCTAACCAAACCTAACCTATAAAGATAGGTTAGGTTAGGTTAGGTAGGGTTGGTTAGGTTCGGTCATATATCTACGTTAATTTTAACTCCAATAAAAAAAAATTGACCTCATACATAATGAAATGGGTAGCTTTATCATTTCATAAGAAAAAAATTAGAAAAAATATATTAATTCAGGAAAACTTGACTTATTAGGCAAATCGGGCCTTGAATAGTAGGCCAAAAAGTGAGTTCTGGCTACTAGGTACGACATATATATATATATATATATATATATATATATATATATATATATATATATATATATATATATATATATATATATATATATATATATATATATATATATATATATATATATATATATATATATATATATATATACGCTTTCATATATATACACACGTATATATATATACACTGTGCTTTCTCTCTGTCTCTCTTTGTCTCTCTCTCTCTCTCTTTCTACACACACACACACACACACACACACACACCCACACACCCACAAACACACACACACACACAGACACGTGGGCCTTACGGCTAAGTGGACAGTGCTCTGGGGTCGTCGTTCTAAGGGCCCAGGTTCGATCCCAGGCGGAGGCGGAAACAAATGGGCAGAATTTCTTTCACCCTGATGCACCTGTTCACCTATCAGTAAATAGGTATCTGGGAGTTAGACAGCTGCTGCGAGCTGCTTCCTGGGTGGTGTGTGTGTGTGTGTGTGTGTGTGTGTGTGTGTGTGTGTGTGTGTGTGTGTGTGTGTGTGTGTGTGTTTTAGAGAGAAATATATGTAGCAGATATAATAAGAGGAAACTAAATTGGTTAGAAAGGCGGGGTCCAAGAGCTAATAGCTCGAGTCTGCAGATACAAATAGTAAATGCACACCACATTAAATTAAACTACCAACCCGGTAGTGAAGCCGGGTGGCAAGCTTGCAATTAATCAAACGAGGGTTAAATGAGGCAAAATAATTGTTTGGACTAGTGTCTCCAGGCACTTACAGCCACACACACACACACACACACACACACACACACACACACACACACACACACACACACACACACACACACACACACACACACACACAGCCCAGTAGTGTTTGGGCTCACCCTACTGGGTGTTTGAGCCCAGTAGGCTCCGAAATCTGTACACCAGTTGATTGACAGTTAAGAGACGGGACCAAAGAGCAAGAGCTCAACCCCCGCAAGTACAACTAGGTGAGTACACACACACACACACACACACACACACACACACACACACACACACACACACACACACACAGATATATTGTGCTCCAGCACACAGAAGCCTCAGCTTGCGCCCGCCCTCCCAACACACACACACACTGGTACTGTACATCCCCCCACACACGGGTATTATTCACCCCACAGATCCTAGACTATCCATACGTCAGGTCCTAGTTGTATACACACAGGTACTCTACTGTCCCATGACCTCCAACACTCCATGCTTTTACACACTGTACCAAGCTTGTTCCTTCAAACACCACCGTACCCTCACACACACACCTCCCTTCATCCTCCCACACGCACGTACACCCCCTTCCTACACGCACGTATACCTCTAACTCATCAGTCACCCCCCTATCATCAAGTATACTCACCCTTGACAGCGCACTGGAAGGAGACGGAGTCGCCCTCCTCGACGATGCGGTCGTGCGGGATGTAGTAGAACTTGGGCCCGTGGGAGCGGCGGGTCTTGGAGCGCGTGCTGGGCTCCGGTGTCAAGCGACGAGCTGTGGGTACCAGAGGTCATTGTCAAACTGGGTCATAGTTAGACCTGGTCACAGTCAGACCAGGTCACGGGGAGCCCAGGTCACGAGGAGCCTAGGTCACGGGAAGCCCAGGTCACGGCGAGGCCAGGTCACGGCGAGGCCAGGTCACGGGGAGGCCAGGGTAGTTCAAGTTATAGTGATCAGTAGAGCACGCGATTTACGATTGAAGAGTCATACCGATAAAGGTGTAAACAAAGAAAATGGGTCGAGAAGTCGACCAATGCAAGCCAGTTACCGATCTTGTATACAGTCTAAATTAAATCAGCATATATTGTTGCAATCATTATTTGTTGATTAAAGAAGCCTCGAGGCTACGGTCTTTATTATTTGAGCGATAACGTGTCAGGAGTGTGATAAGAGATGAGTATCATGGAGTCTCACGGTCAAGCTGAAGACTCCATGCCACGGTGAGTCAGCTTACATTGTACGTCCTTTAGTGACAAAAGAATGATCTTACGAGCTCAGAGATCACTCACACACTATCGCGGCCACGACCCCTACTATCAGCTTATCGTGAAGGCTCGCCAGTAGCTTGACCTTATCTAGGAAATGACTCCTCTTTTCAGTATGTCGAGTGAACGGGTTTAATTGGCTTCCTTGAAATATTAATAGTCATTTATTATTTAAGCTGAATTAATATATTTATATTGTGCAAAATGTGGCAAGGTGATGGGATCCGCCCTGAATGACATACTAGTATATCTCTCCGGATATATCACGCTGAAGATCTCCAACTGTAGATAATATGTATACTCTAGCATATCTGGAGACTCTCCAATTTGTTAATAAATCTGTTACCAAATATATATAACACATATGAGGAGGGTAGAAATTGCCTAAGCTACACTAAACTTTTGACAAACAGGGTGCGAATAGCTTGAGCTACCTCATCCCTTTGTGTGTATTTTACCTCAATAAACTTATTTCAATTTCAATGCTTTTGACACGTATTTTATGGTATCAATAAACGTACTTGAACTTTAACGAAGACAGATAGCGGTGTTATGGGATACGCGATAACACCAGAGATAACCTATCTCACGGTCAAAAGTGTGAGCATCATAGTCTTATGAACCATAAATATTTCACAATTGTGTAAACGCGTGGATCAGAGCCTAGCCTAAGCTACTCTATCCCCCTTGAGATGTATTTAATTGTCTCAATAAACGTACTTGAACAGCCTCATCAAGGAGTGACGGGATAATACAGTAACGATGTTCAACACAATACATTATTCCGGGAATACATTACCCAGGAAGGTTTATTCCGGGTAAAATCCTTGTATTAATACATCCTTATAGACACACCAAAACGTTCAAACCACAACAACACACCAACATGCACAAGTCTGTGGCACAAGCCATGCAAGTAGGCATACACTGGCACCTGTCAACCATAGCGACCACAAGGTTTCTACACCGGCTTTGGCGACCAGCTGGGGCCAGACTCACGAAGCAGTTACGCAAGCACTTACGAACGTGTCCATCTTTCCTCAATCTTTGACGGCTTTGGTTACATTTATTAAACAGTTTACAAGCATGAAAACTTCCCAATCAACTGTTGTTATTGCTATAAACAGCTTCCTGGTGCTTCGGAGCTCATTAACTGTTTAATAATTGTAAACAAAGCCGCCAAAGATTGAGAAAAGATGTCCAGGTTCGTAAGTGTTTGCGTAACTGTTTCGTGAATCTCGCCCTGGCAGGTTTCTACACCCATTTTGGCGACCAGGTTTCTACACCGGCTTTAGGTTTCTTTATTCATCCCCCAAATCAGTTTTCACGTTAGCAGTAGTGGAAATCATTATCAAATAAAGATACTTACCGAGCTGCTGCTTGCGTAATAAGTAATATAAACACAGTTAAAAGGTAATGGAGGAAAAACGAAGAGAAAGAGAGATTCAGTGTTGTTGATACTGCGTTACCTCTCTACACCGAAGCTAACGACACTCGTCACATCAACGCAATGTTGCCAGATTAAAACGCATGCTTATTAAAATAGTTTATCTTGACAAATTGATATCCTGATTGTTAATGAAAATATTGAATCGAACTCTATTCAGGTTTGTTAATGGAGTTGATACTGAAGAGTGAATGATAAGGGAGGGGGTGGGGGGGGGAAGGAGGAGGTAGTGACGCCGGGTGGCAAGCTTGTTATTAATCAAATGAGGGTTAAATGAGGCAAAATAATTGTTTGGACTAGTGTCTCGAGGCGGTATATAAGGTGCTGTATGTGTGTGTGTGTGTGTGTGTGTGTGTGTGTGTGAGAGAGAGAGAGAGAGAGAGAGAGAGAGAGAGAGAGAGAGAGAGAGAGAGAGAGAGAGAGAGAGAGAGAGAGAGAGAGAGAGAGAGAGAGAGAGAGAGAGAGAGATATGGGGGATGGGGAGTCGTCTCGTCTCCAACCCAGAAGACATCTGCAACAAACAGACAAGGAAGGACTAGAGCTATAGTCTCTCTCCTTCAATACAAGGGAACAGGAGTCAGTGTGGCTTGGTTGGTGGAAGGACTGAGCTCCAGCTCCCGGGTCAGTGTGGCTTGGTTGGTGGAAGGACTGAGCTCCAGCTCCCGGGTCAGAGTGGATTGGTTGGTGGAAGGACTGAGCTCCAGCTCCCGGGCCAGTGTGGCTTGAGTGAAAGACGCCTTCATTCGTAATGCAATCACAATTAGGTGATGTATCTATGACAGCATATTGGCGCCATGGGATGGGGTGTGAGCGGGGTTACAGGGCGACAGTGCCATCCCATTTTATACCCTCAATATTGCATCATGTCCTCAAGTCATATTAAGGGCTTTGGTTATATAGTGTGGCTATATAGTGTGGTCATATGATCTACTGTAGTTCGTAGTGGGGTGGCAGACTCTTCGATGCGGGGGTCTGTGTTGACATGTTAGGTTGCGGGGGTGTAGCGAGGGGCGGCGGTGTGGCGAGGGGCGGGGTGTGGCGAGGGGCGGGGGTGTGGCTAGAGGCGGGGTGTGGCTAGAGGCGAGGTGTGGCAAGGGGCGGGGTGTGGCGAGGGGGGGTGGAGAGAGGATAGGAGGATAGGACGAGCTAACCTAGTAGCAGCGGGGAGGAGCCGCGTGACAGAGGGCGCCAGTGAGAGATGGTGACGGAGGATTCCCGCCAGCCGACGCCGGCCCACGAATGGGCGCTTCCCTCACCTGCAAGACGGACCCACACACCGTGTCATCTACCCGTCTCATCTCTCCCTTCAACCTCATCCTTCAATCATAAAACTATACTCCCCCATCAACCCCCCCCCCCTTTCTTCCCTGAAGCAAGCACATGCAACCATGGCAGCCCGTAGCAGCAAGCGGTGACTGCAGGATATGTAGTACACTGCATCAACTACTTTCCATCACAACTAGGTTGATCCAGGCCATGGAGACACGCACAGCTAGCTATGTAGACAATTTGTGTCCCAGCACAGATACAGACAGCTATACAATGAAAAGTCAAAAGCTAAAATACCACAAACTACTAAAGCTATATTGAAACGTCAACAATTATAAGTCTAACATTCTCAATAAAATCTGAAATGCACATTTTAATAATTTAATAACAAAATTTTACTTTAACTTTAATACTAATAAATAAATTTAATAATTTAATTTGTAATTTAATTTAATTCCCAGTGACTGAAGGGAATACCTATCTTTAGCTTGTTGAAAAAAGAATACAGTACAGAAAATAGACACCGAAATAGTTACCTGATTCTATTAATTAAATCCAATCCTTTAAAATGACAAAGGTTATGCAATTACTTTAAAAATATTTAATTAACTATATCCAGGCAAATAGCTACTGCAGACAAAATTCTACTTTACAATATAATCCAATATTAATTAAAAAAAAATTAACAAGAGCCTTGGGAGAAAAATATATTCCCCCGTTTTTAAGTTTGTTTTGACGAGTCGCAAAACAAGAAAACAAAATAAAAACAACCCAACCAACACATTTCGGACCTCAAACGATGTTGTTGTTGACCTCAATCAACAACAACAACCTTTCGGTCCCTCTTGGACCTTCATAAAGTCTAAGGATAAGCATTAGGAGTCATATGTTGTTGTTGTTGTTGTTATATTTCGTTCTGAGTAGCTAGACTTAGCTACTCGGAACGAAATGTCCATGTAGCACGGGCTATGGTGAGCCCGTAAAGGAAGTCATTATCACCGGCGGTTCTTCAACTCACGCTGGAAGGCGACGGAGGGCGAGCGGGAGAACCTGGAGGGAGTGTTGGTCCTGGAGGGCGTGGTCCTGCGGGAGAGGTCTGGCCGATGCTCCAGCTGGACGGTCACGTCGTTCTCCTTGTCGTCAGCCACTGAATGAAGGAGAGAATTAGCCATGTTTGGAATCACCCGTTCACATATATATACATTGAAAACGGCTGCTGTCGGATCCTACAGTCTGACTCGTTCTTGTTCCTATACAGTCTGACTCGTTCTTGTTCCTATACAGTCTGACTCGTTCTTGTTCCTATACAGTCTGACTCGTTCTTGTTCCTATACAGTCTGACTCGTTCAGAAATAGCTGCCTGACCCCACACAAAATGAATTAAATACCTATTATCTTTTGTTGTTATTAAATCTGTATATAGTATAGTTTTGTTAGGTTTTACAATTTTCTAAAAAATAACATTTGTCGTTAAGTTAGGCCGGCTTACTTATGCTAGACCAGATTAAGTTGGGAGATTTTAAAACCAAAAAGTCTGTGGCGATCCACATTATGAATAAAATGACCTGGACCCCCGCTAAACAATGCTCGCAATAATTGAACACTTTCACCACACAATCTTATCAATTGTGAGAACGGGGCGAGAATAGCTTGAACTACCTCGTCCCTTTATGCGAATTTATACCTCAATAAACTTATTTTCATTTAAATTTCAATCTTATCGAGATTTTTTCGTGTGTGTGTGGAGAAAGTGGGAGGGCCGTTCGACCCCCATTCGTATTAAAATAACACCATAGGTGAAGCGTTATTCAAATTAGACAAATTGGGCTCCCAGCTGCATACATAAATGCATATATTGAGCTTAATATGTCTACAGTCTACAGTGAAACATTGCTACTTGAGGTGCAGAGGATCAGCCCACTCTTCCCCTCATAGCACAAAGTGGCACCCTTTTTCATCAGTTATTAAAGCACTGTCTGAAGATTCAACACAAGCATAACCAAGGGTGTGTGGTACAGGCCCAAATGGCCCATTGTGATGTTTACATACAGGGTAAACAAAAATAAATGTAATTATATTATTTGAACAAGTCAGGTTACATATTCCAACATGTAAATAGCGCGGAGACCTCATTAACTTAAGCGGACAGTTAGTCACAATATCGGGACTGAAAATTAAGACACCGAACCGACACGTCTGAAAATAAAGAATTAAGAGGACGTTTCGGTCCGTCTTGGACCAATATGAAGACCTCCCGTTAACCTAATTCCCGTTGTCAGGGTCAGGAAGCCCTTACATAGGCACATGGAGGTTTTTCTATAGGCTTACCTTTCGCAGGACGCATCCCACAACAATTACCTAACTCCAGAGATCCTATTTAATTACTAGGCGAATGGAGACATGAGGTGAAAGGAAACGTGCACACACACGCCCGGGAACTGAACCCGGGTCCCTAGGTTGGAAGCCAGAGACGTAGAGACCACTGTGTAAGTGTTTCTCCTCGGCGTCAAAGGCGCTCGAATTTCTGTTATAGTCAACCTTCAAACGAAGCTCGGCCCCGTTCTCTCTGAAGCACGTCCTCTCGGGCGTCACAGCGTCACTAAACTGACGTATTAAATTGTCCGAACCTAACCCTAACCTCATCCACGAATAGAAAATGGGACATAATGTCATTTTTTTTTTCGAGCCGTTAGGATTCTTCTTAATACGTCAGTTTTTGGTCTTAGGGGATTTATACGTGTAAATATAATACACTATTCAAGAGGCGGGTTATTGCTTCCTGACTGTCCAATCCGACGCTCAAGATTTGATTGGTTAAGCAGCTATTTCAACAGCCGAATAATTTTTAAGATATTCTAATTATCCTGTGTCGAATTTGTTTTAAATTTACATTTACGAAACAGTAAGAGAGCATAATTTAGAGACGCTCTGTTAGAGTTTTGTAAATGTAAATTTAAAAAAGTTGCAAAAAAGGATAATTAGAATATTGTCTTAAAAAAACAGTTTGGCTGTTGAAAATCCATTGAATCATACTCTCGAAATCTATAAAATAAATCTAATTTCTTCTTTTAAATACTGTATTTAAAGGAAACAATTACATATAATTACAACTACAATATACACTCAGTAGCCTAATGGATTTTTTTTAAAGCTCAGTATATATATTTTTGTTAATGTTACACATTTTAAAAAGAAACATATCATTCCTGAACTCTGAGAACAGGACACATTGGGAACTTGGAGCCAGATTCACGAAGCAGTTACGCAAGCATTTACGAACATTTTTCCTCAATCTTTGACGGCTTTGGTTACATTTATTAAACAGTTTACAAGCATGAAAACTTGCCAATCAAGTGTTGTTATTGTTATAAACAGCCTCCTGGTGCTTCGGAGCTCATTAACTGTTTAGTAATTGTAAACAAAGCCGCCAAAGATTGAGAAAAGATTCACAGGTTCGTAAGTGATTGCGAAACTGCTTCGTGAATCTGGCTCCTGCCATTTGGACCAAGACCATGTACATAGACCATGTACGAAAACTATACATACGGATGCTCACTACTACATATTTAGTCCGGCGGCTTTGTTTACATTTTGTTAAAACTGTTAACTAGCATCGAAACGTCACAACCCCAGGTTATAATGGTTATAAAACAACCTCGTTGACAAACCGCTGGCTTCCTGTCCCCGTCGAGGGAGGGGGAATTATCAGTGGAAAGCGCCCAGCCATTACGACTATATAGCACTTGGAAGGGGGGTCAGGATAAGGATTCGGGATGGGACGGGGGGAAAGGAATGGCGCCCAACCACTTATGGACGGTCGGGGATTGAACGCCGACCTGGATGAAGCGAGACCGTTGCTCTACCGTCCAGCCCAACGGCCACTAGTATTTGTGGTCCCCCCTCAGGTAAATTCGGGTAAATACTTACTCTCTACGACGAGGGTGGCGGAGGTGACGGCCTTGCCCATGTCGTTGAAGATGATGCAAGAGTACTCGCCCTCGTCCTCCGGGTAGACTTCGCGGATCTTGAGGGTCACCCTCGAGTCGTCCCACTCGCTCTCCAGGTCCCCGCCCA